AAAAATAAGATAGAACGCCCGAAATAGTTTATTGTGACTATACAATTTATTATATTATTCATAAATGTATCAGTAATATGTTATCGTTCTACTTCGTCCTCTTTATTACTTTTATTATCATTTATTATTATTATTATTATTATCAATTATTATTATTATTATCAATTGCTATTATCAATTACTATTATCAATTATTATTACCAACTATTACTATTATAATTAATTATTATTATATATATAAATTTACATTGTTATTTATAAAAGTAATTTATTCTCATTGCTATATACTGAGTAATTATCATTTCCTAACTTAAATTCAAGGCAGTTAGATCAACTTTGTTCAAATTCGTCTTACTATAACTAAAGCTAAATAGTCCCACGGAACTTTTCATTCGAATTTTTCATTTGAATTTACAAAAAAACTAGCGATTGAAATTAAAATTTTAAGTTATTTTCACTAAAATAAAATTATATCAGTCCTAATTTTTTAAAAAAAAAAAGTGCTTATTAAGATTTCATCCTACTAAAAGATGCAATTACATTTAATATGAAGCTGTGATAAAGAAGTATATAAATTATTGCATATCTCCAAATAACGATGATTTCATAAAGTTTAAGTATTTTAATAATTTATGTCAGTACTTGCTAACTAAGTTCATAACGAGTTAAAACTAATGAATTGAGAATTTTGCAAAAAAAAAAAAACGAAAACTCACTGACAAATTCATTATTATGTTTCATTTTTCATTTCTAATTGTTTGGTAATAACTTTCTTTTATAATTATTGCAAAAAAGAATTATAATTGATGATTTTTGGATGCATTCTTGAATAGTTCTTAAAAGCAACAACGATTGAAATATTGCAATGCAAACGATCAAATTTAGTTTTCTGATACCAGATATTCCATATTGCGACACTTCAAATGATTTTTGCAAACTGTGAATTTATGAGTGTTTAATTTTATCTGCAAAATTAGTATAGCGATAAAAGATGGAATAGTTTTCAAGGAAAATTGCCTGCCACTTTATTCATTTCAAATTTTCAAACATACTGTTCTTAACGCACATTTGCAATGTTAAAAATTTCAATTTGATACATATCATGGAAAAAGCATTATTTTGAATTATTTTTTTATTGTTTCTAAGAAATTCTTAAAACAAAATTTTAATTACTTACTGTAACAATTCCGTTTCGTCCAAAATTTCAATATTTTAAATGACTTTTCTTTAATATTATAAATTATACTGAATGAAATGTAAATGAAATGAATATTTCTTTCATTCAAATATGAGATTGTATAATTTTAATCGTAAATTCAAATTTCTATGATATATTTCGAGAATTACCGTACTGTCAAATGTCAAAAAGGTATTTTGATGTTCTGTGATGCATCTAATATGCATGATTGTATACCTCGATCAATCCCTTTTTCTATTTCATCTCGCATATTACTGGCAAATATCTCTATGAATAATAGATGAATTTGTCAATAATTGTAGTGGTGACATTACCGTATTCATTCAAAATTATTTTATGGCAAAATATTTTTCGTTTTCCTAAAAATATATTAGACTAAAATTAATATAAAAATGCTTTTAATTTAAATTAAAAATACTAAATCAAAAATATTGCATACCTTTTATATGCTAAATTATTGAAGCGAAAAATTCCTTTGTGCTGACAATGTCAGCGAAAAATAAAATCGTCCAAGTAAGAAATGACTTCTTGACCATGAAAACTTCTCTTTTCATATGTATATCTAAAATAATTCTCGAGAAAATTTACTATAATTATAAAAGAAATTGCATTTCTTGTCTAATTAGATTGATATACAGGAAATATCGGTTATATTCTTGGATTTATTATAATACAAAATCTTCAAAGAATTTTATTTAATTTTAATTTCATATATGTACTAAATTGTGCATTAACATCCTTTTAGTTTATTTGATCTGCTTTAAACTGTTCACAATTCATTTATTTTTACGCTCTCAAATGTGTTTATTCATGCTGAATAAAATAAATACAATGGATTAATGATAAGCGCAATCATATCAGCAGACTTATCAGTAGAGAGTGTAGGTAATTACTTAGAAAGATTATGCATGTATATATTGTTGTATAATAAGTAAATTGGATTAGATCGTTCAATCCTCAGATGATAACTTCATTTTTGCCAAGTTAAACGATATTTAAGTGACTTTGCACAAAGAATATTAGTGATAGTTACAAAGTTATTATAATTTGAGCATACGATATTGATAGCATTCTTATCCTAAAAATCAAATATCTTTTGCTGTTTAATTGATGAAACAATCAATTTATTCTCATCTATTTGTCGTATATGAAAAGCAGTGTCCAATAAAAATGAAAAGACAAAGCAAATGATTAAAGTTATCTTATCAAAAGTAAACTTTAGGGTCCTTATGTCTTGCAGATCTTTAACAATTCTTAAACATAAATGTAATTCAATCATCATCATGAGAAACTTAATAATGTGAAATTTTCAGTTTAAAAAAAAATACAAAGTTCAGTATGCAATAACGTAACAACCTTCGAGAATCCCCTAGAGCTATAAAAAGAATGAATTTAGCAAATTTCATTTTTAAGGTGCTGATTTATTGACCACTTACCTAACAGCAATAAGTACGTATGACCTTTTCGCGACAATAAAGCGACAAAGTAATTAAATTAAAAAATATTCTTCGGAATAAACCACTTATCTTTTTATGCAATTGTTTTTGTCAAAGAAAAGGTCACTTACCAAATAAACTTTTTGGCCTTGTTAAAAAGAGTAGTATTGCTTTAAAGGGCAGTTAGGAAATGAAATAGAATTTAGTTCTATTAAATCAGATATCTTAAATATGACACAAATTTGGATAGGTCCCATCTTTTAAGGAAGTCTCTCGATAAAGATCAAGGAGGGATTATTGTATAATCAGAGATTTGAATCGTTATCAGATCGGCAAATTTCTCTTATAAATCATTCATATTGCAATTATTATTCGTGAAGTAGTTTATCTCTATATAGTTTTCATTACTAATTGGTTAAGTTCTTCTTTTCTCGATCATTCTTATAGCCATGGTTTGCTTAAGGAAAAGCTTACGATTATATAACGAAAAGCATTCATTATTAAACAAATTTACCTTAACTTTATACTTATGATAAGTTTATATTCCAAATACTGCCATTACAATAATATTTACTGATCATATGACTTCCGGGATGATAACCGTAACTATTAGTATGAAACTGTCAACTGAAATTGTCAAATTGGGAACTAACTTGAAGTGGAACCTAACTATTTATTGAAGGAATTAGAATGGAATATGATGAATACCAGTACATATCAAAGAGAATTTTGTCAGAACTTTTTATGCATTTATTAATTCACTCATCCGTAAGCCATAAGCAGTAATTACTTGTTTTATGTGACTAATTAGATAATACATTTGATTATTAGCGAATATCAGTTATATGAATGAAGTCGATATGATTCAGTTAAATTATTCATTTCCTCTGGAAAGTTTCGCATTTTTAAGAAAAATATACTAACTAGGACATTTAAAATAAACAAATGGAAAATACTTTGAAATAAAATACATTGCAATCTTTATTTCATTTATTATTCTTCATGCACACAAATCAATTTTATTGTTAGTTCGTCCTTTTACTAATAACCAATTGCAGTTATTGTTTTCACTTTCATCTCGAATGTTTTAAATGAAATAGTAAATAGAATATTATAGCACATCCTGAACAAAAATAGCAAATTCGAAATGGAGGCAGAAATATATTCTCTTCTTCAGCAAATATGCATTAACATTCCTCTCAAATACATAATCTGCTTCTTATAACAAATTCTGTAATTCGGATCAGGATTCTATTTAGGATGTCATTGTACTTCAGTGACCTTATCAATCACCACTGTGATTGTAATCGACTTCAATCAGGTCAAATGAGTTATCAATCAACATCCTAACTCAGTAACCTCTGCTTCATCTTAAATGAAAGAAAAGGGAAAGATTTAATGATGACAGATAATAAATCATTTAGTGACGAAATCATTTCAAATCATCTTTAAAAAAGTTCAGGAAGTAGATATGACAGGAATAACTAAAGGTAATAATACATGGAGTAGTAGTACTCATATATAATCCAAATATCACTAGTTCATCCTATCGTCTAAAACTTTATTTAAATAAGCAAATGCTTATTTGAGAAATTGCAAATTTTATGTTATTAACAGCAAAAGAAACATATAGGGTCACGTACGCCCATTCAGGTACGTGTAGTGGTAAAGTGGTTCGCTTCTCTTCACACGAAGGATGGGTAGAAGAGGCATAGTTGTAGTGAGAGATTGGTGCGTGGATGGTTTACTTGGTCAGGTTTATTTAACAATAATATTTAAGAAATGTGCTTTGCAATAAATAAATCAAAAAGGACCTTTACTCTTCTAAACTAACTCATAATACCAACTGCAAAAATTATTCCGATTAATTAAAGTGATGATTAGGGAGCAATATATGTTTTAAAGTTTGTGATGATTTCTTTAGATATTCAGTTACGTTGGAAAATCTGCAAAGTTGAGATTGATGCCAATCTTAGGAGCTATTTCTTTCTGACACTTATCAGTTTAAAACATTCAAAGGTGACATTTTATTTCAAACGATGAATGATAAACAGTGAAAATAAGTGACTGAATGAAAACTAAATTAGCTAAATTAACAAGAAAAATAGTGAAATGAAACTGGATGCAGAAGTGGAAAAATATATATTTTGTTTTTCTTGTAGGATATTCATAACAAAAATTTTTTTGAAACTAAAGTTTGAAAAGAATCAAAAACAATAAAAGTTTTTGACAATAAAAAAAAAACAATAGAAAGTGATCTACTAATATACAAATTTTCTGTCAACATATTGTCTTCAAACATTATGGACAATTTATGGAACGACAAACAGCAACGAAACTCTTTTCTGAGCTCCAAAATGAGTATGCTATATCTGAAATGAACGATAACGATACTAAATGATCGTTGAAGCAAATACGTACAATACTCTAATCTATGATATAACAGTTGCTGTAGCTGGTGGGCAAGTTAATATTTGCTAACTAAAAAGATATATTTCTGAAAGAAAAAGCACCCATTGATTTTTGAATTATCGTTAGGCCTAACATGTTACTTTATAGATGACTAACAGATTTTACAGATAAAGTGTAAACAAAGTATCAAAATGATAATGACTTTTACTTACCTTGCTAATCACACTTTCTGGCACCTCATGCAGATCGATGAAAGCATTTGATATCACTATCTTCTTTGTTTCTTTTATCTTCAATAGCACATATGATTAATAGTATGATTTAATAATATGTTCCGTTGTTGTCATCAAGAATTTAGAAAAATCTTAATCAAAAAATCAAACTTATGCTAGATACAATTATAAGGATATCCATGGTTTAATTTAACCAATCAGTAACTATTGCAAAACTTTTCTAACAATAAATGTTATTCGACAATAAGACAAGCATAATTCAGAACCATTGCTTGAAAATGTATCCTTGGTCCTTCTTTCCACATCTCTGTTCGGAGTGTTTGTCCTGGTGTCACGGGACTCGCAAAACGAACCTAAAATATAATAAATTGGCTCTAAAAGTTCATTTCTGAAAGTTCACAATAATAATTCAAGGAGATTTATTTATACTGAAACTTGAAGAAAAAACTACAGAATTACTAAAAGATGAATGTTAAAAGACGAATAGAATATTTATGGAAAAAAGTGCAGACACCTTGACACTTTTGAAATATTCGTCACTGCCACCAGCAAATGCCTTTAGGATATGCCTCGTACAGAAACCGAGGGTACAAAGTCCATGTAAAATAGGTTTCTGGAAACCTAATAAAACAGAAAACTCTGGGTCGATGTGCAGTGGATTTAGATCATAACCAACTAAACGGTAGAAGGCCGCCTGAAACAGCAGATGTTCCAGCAATATTTATGGTAAAGCAGAGAATAGAAATCTCTCATGTGCAATTCTTTTTCTGAAAATTTGGAAAATTAGAGTTCCTCAAAAAATGGTCAAAGTACTGTCTGAAAATGTTAACATACCACCTCCTGCTCACAGGAATTCAAAGGCATATTTTACTATTTTACGAGAGACTAATGTCCCTCCTTTGCCCAATTTTGCTAACTGGCACAATGCTAAGAATAAAACGCGAAACAGCAGTAAGTAACTTATCTAACTCCTACATTGCAACGGAATTAAAATATATATTTTGTGAGCCCATAATAAAACCATAATTAAATTATCTTCAAAGTTGCTAGTTTTATTTTAAAAAAAAGATCAACACTTTAATTGAATCACAAAGAAAATTTTTATTTCAAATTCAAGATACTTATAAATTGAAAAGTTATGCAAAAAAAAGTCAAACCACCTGAGACACATCAGTCGCCTGTTCAGTAACATAATCAGGATCACGTTGAGGTACCGGTTCGCATGGTATTTCGTGTTCTGAAGTTTTCGAACCACCAAATCCACCTGATCCAACTTGGAACAAACTGATCTGTTGCTTTGCAATTTTAGTCTTTGTTTGTTCATCATAAGTTGTCACTGCAACTCCACACAATCACTATACAGTCTCAAGAATTGATGTTTTTTGAGAATTCCAAAGACATTATTATTTTTAGGTTGACTTCATAAAAACAAATACAAATAGGTCATAAATATACAGTTCTATTTAAAAAATTGCATAGTTTAAGACATGTTATTGCTTTAATTTCGTAACATAATTTACTAGAAAGTCACCCTCTATAAGAATTACTGCTCCTTTGCCTTTATCAAGCACTGCTGGAATGCTTATAACAGATCGTAGTTCACCATCTGTTGGTATTCGAGTAAACAATTCCAAGTATTGCTCTCCATGCAGTATTTTTGTTAAGTCGAAAGTTATGCCTTGATCAAATAGAGATTATTTACAGGATAGAGGCAATGATTTTTTTCATATAAAATAAATATCCGATTTTTATCAAAACTTTTTTTTTGCAAATTCTCATCAGTAAAGTGAATTTTCTTAAAAATAAAGAAAGAAATGAAAGAGAAAAGAGAATCAATTTACCTGGCCATTCTCCGATTTCGGTAATGGCAGCTTGTAATGCTGGGCCGATAATAAATGTAGGCAGTGCTGCAAATTCTTTGTGATTTTCGAATAAGTATTGTAACTGATCTTCAACACTCGCTCCAACTGAAAATTCAAGAAGGAATTCTAAGTAAGCGTTAACCAATGAATAAATAAAAACAATTAATAAATTAATTAATAAGCTAATTAGTAAGTTTAACGAAGAATTCCCACTTCAAATGATGCAAATTTGTTGTAAATGTCGCTGAATAAACCACAAATATATTACTCGTAGTGGAAGCAGAAGAAGGAATGATTCGATAGCTCTATGTCTTACTTCAAGGAATCATGAAATGATAGAGAAATACTGACTCCATTTTGATGTATAAAAAATTAACCTGCTAGAGCATATAAGATAGTATCACGAGAAGTGTATCGAAGTAAGTTCGATTGTACCGGTCCATGCATTCGAGCTTTTTCCGAATCCATAGTTCTTCTGATGATAAACGAAACAAGGTTGAATCCTGCAACATTTCAGGTTGCTATAAGAAAACACTCAATGTGACACTGTCTTCATCGTTAAGTAGTATTTTTCTTTGTTGCTGATATTATTTTTATCCTTTATCACATGAACAGGCATTTTCAAACAAAAGATGTGACAAAGAAGGACCACATTTTAATAATGTCATTTCGCTTAATATTTTCAAGCTTTTATTTATATTCATTAAAAGAAACTAATTAAATGACAAAATCATAAATCTTTACCAATAACAATTGCAAATAATGCCAAGCAAAGATAGCGATATTCTGTGCTTTGACAAAAAAAAAACTATTCATATACTGAAGCAATATAAAGAGTAAAAGGTAACAACCAACCCTAAGATAACATTTTTTCAGATTCCAATCACATCATCAATAAAAAGTCATTATTTGCCCATTTGCATTATAATTTTTAATAATAATAGTAATAAAATATACAAAAATCTTGTCGTTTAAAAATCTTGCAAATAAAGTGGACGAAAAGAAAAGAAAGCAAATGAAACTTTCAATTCGAATCGATCAATTTATTTGTTACGATCAAAGTACAGTGTTTGATTGAATAGTGACAACTTCGGTTTAATTACAGCGCTTATACGCACCGTTATCAAATTAATTAAACTTTGAACTCCACCAATAAATATTGATCTTCAAAATGAAAGACAGCTATCAATGAAATTAAAACTTGGTACATTTTTTGGAAAAAATATGCTGAATGATAAATATGGAAATAGACAAGTTAATAAATAAATTCGCATATAAATTTCCACAAAAATTAAGAAGATTTTTTTTTTGTTGAAATATGAGAACTATCAGAACTTCAAGCATCTAAATTTGTATCGAGTATGTATTACAGACAGTCTTCCATTTTTCTAACCAATTTATAATTAATACTTACTGTCTAATAAAACATGAAAATGTTCTTTCTTAAAGATAAGAACATAATATATTATAAACGAAGCTTCAATAATCAGTAGGATGTGATGAGGGTAATGAACCCTTTTTTAAAATATCGTCTGAAACAGCTTTTATTCTATCTGCATCTCCAGTTCGTTTTGAAATATCGTCCAGCAGGATGCGAACATGTTCACACGCCTAAAACAGATCGTCTCATTTGAGAGAAACTAAAAGTGACGTGAAAAATTGGTACAACGAAACTATTCGGTGAGGAAAAATATTTCTTTAATGAGTTAACACTTGAACTCAACTTAGTTAGAGGTATAAACGAAAATATATTTTGATGTTAAAGAAATATTTTTGTCCTTTTTTTTCAATTTAACGCCGAAAATTAATTTTTGTAATGACCATTAATTCTACAATTTTTACAAGCTAGAAATCTCTATGGGATTTTTAGATCTGCTTTATTAACCCGCAGCGTATAAAGTTCGGCTAATTTTCGTTCATATTCAAAGGATGACTGTTGGTTTGCAGCACGATTACATCGTGACAACACCGCTACAACGCTATAAATATCAATCGCTGCATCTGCCATTCGTATCAGTTCCCACTGTCTCTCTTAAAAATATGATATTAATAAATGCCATTAATTAAAGTACAAATCAAAGCAAAAAATTCAAACAAGGTAAAAGTTTCCAGATTGTTTGTGTTCATAAACAAATGCTTTCTAAAAAAGTTTCATAGTGAAACTTAAGTCGAAATATATATATTCTAATTAAAATGCCATCCGACAAGAAATAATTAAATGTGCACGAATTTAAGGATTATTTTAAGAATAAAAGTACTTCGCCAAAATAACAATCCACAAAGTACATGTTTTTTTTTTACATGAGTTTCTCACCCAAAAAAATACAAAACTTAGGTTACGTGAAATTTCACAAACACCAAAATGAGTTACCAATTATTGCTCGCTTATGTTTCCAAAGAAGAAACCTTGAAATGTTCCCAAATCTATGCACAGTTTTCTTCAAACGTGCGACAGAATGGTTCAAGCTGGGATGGCACTGGAAGTCGAAGCTGCTATAAATAGACACAGTGTTATCTAAGATAAGATATTTGAAAAAAGAAAAGAAATCTTAAAACACAAAAATTGTGAAAAACCAAGCATAAAGCATAAGAAATGCTTTACAGTCTCTCGAAGGAGGCGGAAAAGCCAAACTTCAGCTTAAATTTCGCACTAAATACGGTGTTCCATGACAAATTTTCGAAAAAAAATTGAAAGGCAAAAAAAAAAAAACCGTGGAAAAATGGATTCAAAAAGTAGTCCAATGCTTCCAGTCCACGGTTTTTTCATCTTGTACTGCATATGCTTGCCCGCATACTGAAAATTCATTCGAATATTTTTTGTATAAGCAAAACTTTTTGTGTAAAAAAAAAATCAAAACATCGATATAATTGAGGTATATCATAATAATACATAAGAATTACCTGTAATCCAGTTAACGCAACAAACAAGCGCAAAACATCATTGGCACCTTCGAAAATGCGAAAAATCCTTAAATCACGCATCACCCTTTCCAGGCCACACTCCTTCATGTAACCCATACCACCATGAAGTTGGATGGCACGATCACACACAATCCAGGCATTCTCCTCAAATTAAAAACCAAAGTTCAAAAATTTTGTTTTTTTTTTTTAAATTTTATCTTTAAAATACTAAGAATATAGTATGTGATTTCCACTAGAAATAACAAAACAGCATTTGTAAATACATAACTCACCGAAGCCATAATTTTCGCCAAAGCGGCTTCTAATTCGTAATCCACTGTACCTTTGTCCATCAATCCTGATAACATATAAAGGAGGCTCTAAATAACCTTCGTAAATTTTTAAAAATTTTATTGAATTTATTATTCACGATGTTTGGAAATGGAAGTCGAAAATATTGGAAAAGTCAAAATATTTGTTTCTATAAAATGAAAAAGTGACCTCAGTAGCATAATGACGAAGAACCATATCAGTCAACTGTTCTTGAACATTTCCGAACTCTTTCAATTTTCTTCCAAATTGCCCTCTTTCTGAGATGTGCTCAATCTAAATAATAGTTTTGAGTTTGGAAACAGCTAAGCAGAGGATAATTAAAACTTTGCTACGAAATTTAATTTGAAATTCTCGTTGAAAGATTGCCTAACGTTACCGTTTTCTGAATGCAAAATTTCATGGAACCGGTGCATACAGCAGGTATGCCGAAACGACCATTGTTCAAGATGTTCATCGCTAATTTGAAACCTTCACCTTCAGCTAAAACACCAGAAACGATATTTACAAAGCAAAAATTTGTTTCCTACAGCAAATCGGCAAAAGCAATGTCAATTATAACGAATTGAAAAGATGAAATCGAAGAGAATGAAGTCTTAAACACTTGAAAAAAAGAAAAATGAACAAAACGAACCACCAAGCAAATTATCCACGGGAACTTTCGTGTTATCAAAATGAACTTCGACGGTCTTCGAACCCTTAATACCCATTTTCTTCTCAGGAATACTCGTTGTAATACCTCCATGGCTCCGCTCAACTATGAATGCTGACATCTTGCTTTTTGATGTTCCATCCTTATCTTTTACTTGTGTCTATACATGCAATTGTATTAGTTAATTTGTAAATCTTTGTAGTATCACTTTAAACGATCATATTTCTAAAACATCGAAACTCGAAAAAGTCTAATTATATGATTATGTTTTAATACTTAAAAGCTGTCCAAAAAAAACAATGAAATAGAACTTTTTTAAAAAGGTGACTAATTCAAATTCATTTCAAATAACAGTAACTACCCGTGCAAAAACGGTGAATATATCAGCGAATGAACCATTACTGATCCACAGTTTGCCACCATTCAAAACATAACACCTTCCATCACTACTTTTCTCTGCATGAGTTTGTACTGACTAAAAAATCTCAATGATCGAGTAAAAATTAATAAACAAATCTTTCCCAATTCCAACAACTAAAATGCTCAAAAAAATCTAAGACTTGATTATAAGATTTTAGCGTGTCCAGATTTCATCATTATTACTAGTCAAACGGCTACTTTAATATAACAAAACGCTAATTTAAAAGGAAAAAGAACTGTATGTAGTACATTTGCATCGGATCCGGTGCCTGATTCAGTTAAACAGAAAGCGGCGAACTTCCGACCCGTAGCTAGATCTGGTAAATATTTACGTTTCTGTTCATCAGTACCATAAAGCAAAATTCCTTTGTAACCAATAGACTGCAAATACCTATAATACCTATACAACAGCTAAAATAAGTTCATGGACTAAAATCAGTTCTGCTCAACAAGTGTTCGAATTAATCACAATAAGTTTATAAACTGTTCAAGAAGTTAAAACAGTACCACAAAAGATTAAAGAAAAAAGTTCACCACCTACACATCTTCAAACATATATATATATATATATATTTTTTTTAAATCACAATTTTAAAACATACTATTAACAACATATAAATTTAAAGCATACCTGATGAGCACCCATAACAACAGCTAGTGATAAATCTGATTCACCAATAACCTCTGCTACACGTGCAAACTGAGTATTATTCAATCCAGCACCATCATATTCTTCTGGTACCAAGGCACCAAGTGCACCAATTTCAGCAAGTTTTGAGAGAATGTCTATCGGAACTTCTTCTTTTTCGTCATTCCTAGACAAAAATTCTATAACATGAGCGTGCTGCAAATTCTCATTTTGTACAAAAGTGATTACACATAGGCAATATCAGAGAATCAGTCCCACGATGTGCACTGCAACCATCCGCAGCAATCCAAGAAGAGAAACCAAAGACACGAAAAAAAGAGTTTAATAAGTAACTTTTCAGACCAAACAATCTGACACCATGGTAATTATCGAGTGACATATTCCATTGTTAACTCTCAAAAAGTCCAACCGCTCTTGGATTTAAATCTTAGATTTAATACAATCAGAGTAGTACAAACTCCGCGGGATTGTTAAATTCCTCCATGAACTTCTTCGTAGGTCCCAAAATTAAATGAATCATTTCTCGTTTTTCATCAGATAAATCAACAGGATATGGCACCACATGATTGAAAACTCCTTTGCCCAGAAATATATTTTTGACAAAAGAAGTTGAAATCTAAAACACTTAAATATTAATACAAACTGATAGTTAAATAATAGTCTCATCCAAAAAAAGTAATTTATAAGACGAAATATATATTTCTGACAAGCCTGACTAAATCCTTTCATGTTTGTAAACCTTAATCCACCGATAAACTTATAACCACCTCAGATGCAGTCGCCGTCGATTTCTCCGATTTAGCTTTATTTGTTAATGAGCGACAATAGCTTCTTCCCAAAATAAGCCTGCAATCAACAGTGGATAATCAATAAAAATGTGAATAATCCGCTGTTCAGAAAATAATAATCAACATAAAGAAATAATCACCTGCATTCTGAGAATAGCACAGGAAGCTTGACACAACGAGTACACATCAATACTTGTTGCTAAAAAGCGTAAATTACTACACGCATCGTTACTTCAAAACATTTCTTATCCAAATTTGCAAACGATCAAAACTTTTCCATTTAATATTATTATTAATATATTTGTGAGAGCTAAAAATGCTAAAACCTACATATCAACTTCAAGGTGTACCTATGAAGCACAAATCTGTTAATTAAAGTTCATAAAATATTAGTACTCAATAAGCCAGGAATATCTTTAGTGAAGAACCATATAAACATTATCAGGACAATCTGCAAAGTTAACAAAATGGATTGTCGGTTAGGAAATGCCTTAACAAATCAACGTTTAAAGCATGCATAGCATAAAGTAGCTCAATCTTTTTTCGTCTAGAATATTTCTAAGATGAATGGTACTTGTTCATGTTGGAATCATTACAACAAAACTCCCATGATTGGAGCATGAAATTCATAAACCGTTGATGAAACCGATATATACTTCTCACTCGACATTTTTGCAAAAAATTTGAATTTGTAAACTGTCCCACATACATTCCTCAGAACAGTAGAACTGATTAAAACGAAACAAGGAGGGACAATTAGGGAAGGGAAATGAAGAGGAACACATTGTCTGCAGACTTTGAACTCTACCGATGGTTTTTAATGTGGTGCGCGAAGAATTGAGAACATAGTACAAAGTTCGATGATTCCAATTCGCATCATTCAACCATTTAACCTACATAAACATATTCATATACCTGTTTACTACGTTCGTATACCTTACAGCCTTCGCAGAAATGGGTGAACGCAATTCAAATTATCAGAGACGGGTGTATGTGCGATAACTACCGATGGAAATGAATATATTTTTTGGTACATGCAACTAATATGTACACCAAATCTTTCTTATCACAAAAACGAAATGATGGGCTTCAACAGTATGTCCTACACAATTCATCCAGAAACACCGAATTATTTTTCTGACTCAACTACCGCCATGATGTACAACTTAAATTGGAAACAGAAAATGTTATGAGGAAATCTTATAGCTGTCCTTCACTTGTTGTTTAATCACTGAATAAAATACAATCACGCATCAAAACATCAACAAACATCTGCAACTTTTCTAGACCTTAACCAACATTAACCAACACTCTTTAGAAGCAAGTGGATTATGGAATACAAACAGTGATGGCAAAATGAGCAAAAGCTCGGTACATAGTAGCGTCATTATATCAAGATATGCTGTATTGAACGACTGAATATAGGAGAATTCCAAAATTTCTACATTTGAATTTACCAACCTTAATAAGAGTGCAGAATTTGGTTGAAGTCATATACCTTTCTAAAAATAGTTTCAAGATAAAAAAAACCATTTCTCTGAAATAGATTTGAGAATCTGAAATTCTGACAGAAAGTCTTACTCTTTCACGTCAATATTTCTTGGAAAAAATTTTCACAATCGAGCAAATCTCAATGAAATCAATACCAACTACAATGATAATTTCAAAGCAAACCCAAGTGACCTGAAGTTAATGCCAAAAAACAAAATGCGAGGAAAACTTCAACGAATTTTCTAAAAACCAAAGATATTCAAAAAAAGCTAAGATGGGAAGAAAACTGGTTGTAAGGAATCATAGACTCACATTACTCAAAATTAAAGAAAATAGTCAGAAAAAATAATTCTAAAAGATACGATAAAAAGCACTGTTTCATAGTGAATGAAATAAAACGAGACACAAAAATATTACTGTTAAAAAGAATAATATCTGAATAGTAATCACCATTCATTTACAAATGCTAGACTCCACCACTCAAACGAGCTCGCTTCGTAGCCGGTTCCGCCGATGAACCTGGAATGAAAGGCGAATAGTTTTGCAGAAATATGCTAAAATTCACAAGTCATCGAAACAAAGCACAAAGTGATAGTCAATCAATACTTAATAAACTAGCTAGCAAGATAACAATAGAAGAAAATAATGCCGTCACATTACTATTCCATAAAAAAAAGAATCTTCGATGAATATCTTCGAACTTGTCCCGTTCGACATTAATCTTAAACTCCCATATAAAATCAACTGTTTTCGATCACTTTCAAAGTAAACAGAACTCTTTGTCTCGATATCGAGAATTCAAAACTTTACCACAGAGAAAAAACTTACTTGGGCTGCTACTAGCACTCAGTGAGCGAGGATCGCTGCTGGATATTGCAGCAACAACTTCAGTAACTAGAGCTGGATGCTCCTTCACCAGCTCTGTCCAACCATCGGTCTAAATATAGATACTAAAACTGTTTTATGAATATCCATAACTATCTATTAGTGAAAACTACCTACAATTGGAAAAACGTCTTCTTCAAATTAAAAGCACGAAGTTTTTTTCTACGCGAGATATGTGGGCCTAAAGCAGAATACAACAGACGGAGAATAAACAAATGAAATGAAGAATTTCTTAACTTAGAATGTCACTAACCAAACTATCAGAAAACTTTAACTTTTTTTACGCAGCAAGTAAATGGAAGAAACAAAGAGCATAAAGATGCAGTTAAATATGTACCTAAAAGCTATTATTTATTGGGAAAATAATGCAATATTTATAATGCATTCATATTCTTTCGCTACTATTATATAGAAAATAATCATAAATAGTCAAAGAACAAAAATAAACAAGAATAAGATTAATGAGAAGACTTGAACCAGATAGAACATAAAAATATTTTTCCATAATATATCAAAAACTAGAAAAAAAAATCAAACATGTCAAAAAAAAAAACTTGGATTTAAGAGTTACCATCATTTTTTAGAACTATCATCGGTTTTCATCATACTGGTGAAAACTTAGCTCATATAAAAGTAAAAAGTTACAGTGATAATGGAAGATGAGTTTTGTGCAATGAACTTGATGGCATCTGATTTCAACTCCCGTGCATTGTGCATATCAGCGAAGACCAAATAACGGCAAGCAGATTCAACTATCAATCCAGTGCGAAGCACCTTAAAGTCAAAGGATTAAACTCAAGCAGGGAGCAAGTACTTCCAAATAGCTTTACTTTCAGCTAGTATTTAATTATTAGATAACCTATTATTAATTATTAAATTATTATTATTAAATAGTTTGATAAGCTTGAGCTCGAATGACATTCATAATTTTTTTTAAAGATTTAATGAAGCAGCAATAAATTACAACTACTGATTAATTTTCAGCATCGCAGCTCCTGATCCTTTATGTCATCAGCATATTATCCATATAAATGTTTGTATTTATAGGAAAAAATTCAAATTAGACCTGATCAGCCATCTCTTTAAGGCCTGGGAGCTGGAAGCGATCTGCTGCTGCTAAAAGATCTAAGGCCATATTAGATAAATTGGGGGATCGACCAGTGTACATATAAAGCAGCAATTCTTGCATTACCTGTAAATTCAACGCAAGCAAATGATTCGACTGATTATCAGCGTAGAAAAAAAAAAAAAAAAACCTCTATTTACAATTACTATGCTCTAACGTTCAATTCAGTGCAATGGAAAAAAAAAAAAGGTAAAGAGAATTAAAGAGATAGATGGTTAACTAGAAATGATAGAAAATAGTTATATTGAAAAGTTTTATCGTTAACAAAATTTCCTTAATCGTCTAATAAGTTGAATTGCACGCCAGTGGAACGAAAAAACTGCAAACCTCAAAATCTATGTCTGGAAATACAACACGACTATTTTTAGCTTCCTCCGTGTGTGGCTCTAACATTGCTGCAAAGACTGGAGAACGAGCTGAAAGTATTATTTGATGAGCTGGCAATTCGCGTCCACTGGCGACTATTGTAAAATCGGCAAGACGTCCTTCCTTATAAATTGCTTCCAAATCCCGGGCTATCTGTAAAATAGCATAGTACAGGATAGCGGATATAGCAATATAACTTCTGTGATACAAAGCGAGTAATATCCATAATGTCAATATATATTTTGCTATATGACCTAATCAAATTAAAAGTGTTCAACAGTTTTCGAAATGGCGATTGACAAAACGCGAATTACTGTACCCACATACTAGTTCCCATCTACAGAGTTTTCAAGAAATTTGATTTCAATTTGGAACAGGAATTAAATAACCTCTGCTGGACGAGCATCAGGAACACTACACTGCCGTGGATTCTGGCTACTTTTAGTAACAGTATCAAAAGTAATAGTAAGACTTAAAACAAGCTGCAATTCATCCTGTGGCTGTATGTGGCTAACTAGAACATCGCGACGTATATACTCGAAATATCCATGCAGCTGAAAGTAAGTTGAAATATAGTTGAAGTATACACAGAAAACCACTAATCCAAAGTATCTACTATTTGAAATCATTCTTTTGCCTCCACAAAATAATTTAAGAAAATCATATATTAACAGGTTTTAGGGTAGAATTCAAACTACGCAGTTGATTTTTGACCAAAGTATTGAGTACTCCCGCGTAATGTTAGCGAAGACTTTACCTGCTGTGTACCAGTGTAAACGGTCGTAGGCGCTTCTTCATTTTTTGCATTGTATACTGAAAATTTCGCCCGATATTTGGCTGAATTCGTGTTGCAGAAAACCTAAACAAAACATACAATAAAAGTTTTAGCATAGCATATCCAACTGACATAAGAATTTATAATAAATAATATCTGCTGAAGAACTATGAGATATCGCTTCATTTCAAAACAAAATATAACGCAGTTCAGTAGCAGCTACAACAGTGAATTAGTACAAATGTCATGAGGAAACTAATGTAAACACAAACCTGGAAAAAACTGAAATCTTTATTCGACTCTTTGTTGCCCTGTGGATGCAGCCTTATTCGAAACGTCAAGTGATTTCCATCGAGTGTATTTGTAGGAACTGGCTGAAATCGTATAAATTTGTAAGCAGTGAACTGATATAGTTATTGCATATTGCTCTGTTATTAGAAAATGCTGTCCCTCCCAAACACTAACCGTTTCTTTGATTTTAACCGACGTTTCCAAATATCGACATTCGCACTGAGAAAAGCCACGAATGGTCCAAACATGAGAATGCTGTAGTGAACGTACTTCCGTCGTTGACCAGCTATCGGATGGACGCAGCGGACCAACAATATCTGCCATGCCCCGGCCACTAGAGCCTTCTAGAAAAGGCTAAATCCACCATTACAATTTAATTTTCTTGTGCCAACTCTATATTACTGATCGTTTTGTATAAAAATGTAACTGGCATTAAAGAATTGTAACATAGCAGATAAGATGCCAAGAAGTTCTGAAAGTTATCTTTCCAGTGTAAAACGTCGCAGCTTACATTACCTGAGGCCACCTAAATAAAAATAACTAATAGACCTCTTCCTTTTTTAAACATACTTAACAGTTCTCACTCATCTGCTGATATTTCAAAATAAACCTACCTTCCTCACCTCCAGCACCGAAATCCACTTCTTCGCCCGTCGTTTTGAAGAACCTCTACAATGTCAGCTTTACAGCTGTACCTGCGAAAGATAAAAATGTGTTAAATTAATAGACCCTGAAAGTATATCACATCAAATATCCTTTCATAAATTTAATAAGAAACAGAGCATGAATTAATTTCAGAAAAACCTATAAGCTTGATGCAACTACAAGAATAATTATTCTCTTTATAAAATTTCACTTTCTAATATTACTGTCTGTACAGTGTTATCTAAAACTACAAGTCAACATTCAGGAAGTGAATTTAAAAAGATGCTCAATGATACTATCAGAGCACTGATAACTTAATAATAATGTACAATATCAACGTTAATAGTTAGCATATAAAGAGCTGGATAAATAATTCTTAAAGATAAAATCATATTAAAATTGGAGTACTAACTGAGTGAATTTCAAGTGACCTGGCAGAAAGGGAAAGGACACATGGACATGAGTAGAACCAATCGAACATTACACCTAGACAAACGGCCAAACCAGCTAGTATAAACTTCTCTCTACGTTACGAGCATCAGAATGATGGTAGCGCTATGCAAAAATGTGGACTATTGAGAAGAGGAAATAGAAGTGGTACTGCTTGAAGAACTGAAATGGATGGTTTGATTTATTTACGTGTAAACGATAGAGCCAAACAATTATAATATTATTGTTGTTTACTGCATTTTATGTAAATTGGCTTTGTTGATGAAATAAGTTATATGAGAGACTTGCATAATAATAAGTATGATTTGTGAAATGTAAAATTATATCAAACAAAAATTTTATTTTAAAAAACTATACCCTTACATGAGTTGCATTTCATTTCTCGCATGTTTATCATCCATTACTTCATTTAATTCAATTTTTTTTACTGCTAGTTAAATGTATTTCTACGTGACGTAAGTGACGTGATCTATTTAACAACATAGCCATTAGCCAGCCATTTTTGTACCTGCAAAAGCTTCATAATGGTAGTTTTAAAATTATTCGCTTTAATCCGTCAATTGTATGAATAGACTACCTAAGATATTATTGAGATGAAATTTATAAGTTTGATTTTAATAAGATTTCTACTTCTATTTATTTAATTTGCTTCATACTGGGCTAATTTTATGATTTTCTTTAATACTTTTTCTATATACCATTTTTATCAACTACTTATATTATATTTATCAAAAATAATCTGATTTCTTGATTTGCTTGTCTCTTTGCTTCGTTTAAAAAAGAATCCCGAAAATTTTATTTTCATTTAAAAATGTGACTTACTTTGTCCAACAAAGTTAATATGTCCCATTAATTGGTTTTTTTTTTCCATTTTTACCCATGAATGATGTTAGAGATGAAACAAAATTGGTGGGCAAATGTAACTTAGTCCTTTTGTAATATTCAGGCAATCATCTACTCTATAATGAACGAAATCTGATTTCTTATCATATTTTATTCATCCTTTAAATTACTCAAATTAATAGTTAGCTCACGTTGATCATTCTGGAACTTCCCTTCCCTTATCATATCCTCTGATCTATTATTTTATTACTACACTACTATCTAATATATCTTTTTATATCATTACTTTATGATATTACTTTATCCACGATACTTGTTCTTTTCTGGTACATTTATTTTTCATTTATTTTATTTAACTTATTATTATTCACTGTATGTTGTTGATATTGCTAAAATACAAATGAGATTCTCCAAATATCTTTCATACTTCTTATACTAATTTATCATATGCTTCATCTCGCGATAAAAATCAAACTTTTTCATGCAAATTTTAAACCGATTAAAATGAAAATTGTGAACTGTTTCTCAAACATTGTTCAAAATGGAGCTTAAGGAAGACTGTTGCGATTCTCGGGATCCTATGTTATCGGAGAACCTTCCAAAGTATCCATTTTGTATATGTTGTGACAAAGGTATTCCTATTTCCTATCTCAATGCACTTTCCCAAAATCATCCAGTATTTCAGTAGTGATTCACAAAAATCAAATTTAATAACATTGTTTCAGTTTTAAAATTCTTTAAATTAAATTTATTCTGGTGATGAAGATCAGTTGATTAGAATGACGTAAAATTTTACAAAATCTTTGATTCATGCTCTACGAAATTATTTCTTCCTAGATTGCATCGCTGTTTTTATCTAAACAAATTTTTGCAAAAGTAGTAAAACTGAAGATTTTTTTTTCGCTTTTGCAGAGCACAAAAAAAATAGTATGCAGAAGAGTAATATTATGAAAATTAATGAAAAATTAAGTTTTCATTCATAAAAATCTTTCCATGACGCAAATTTACAACTTATTTTTATAAATTAATACCATACAACACAATTTGCATTGCATGAAACTGAGACTATCATTGAACACGAAATTTCCTAAAATTTTGTCAAATATCTGCTCTTTTTAACCGTTATCTTATGCAAAAAAAGTATTTAAATTAGTGGAAAAAAAGAGATTATTTTATTATATAATTGTTAACATAACATTAGATGTTTTCAGTCTTTTTGATAAGCATCATCATCCTAAAAATGATCACAAAGTCCCTCGCATTATTTGTCAATTTCTCCTTGCACTAATTGACATTTTATTATAATAAATGTAATATATATGCAAATTTTTTTTTTTATTTTTTTTCATCCTTAAGTTATCCCAAAATTCTTACTTTATTAACTGCATTTTTTTAAGCGCTGCTAACTTATTCTGAATTTATCACAAGATTTAAGCACCCATTTCATTAATATCATGTTAAAAAACAGCTTTAAAATTTATTATCAAGTTCTTTAACTGTCTCAAAGCATAATATCAATATTGCAAAAGAAGTAACAATTACGTTGGAAAGAGCGTTTAATTTTATTCACAATTATAAGTTTATTAACTCTATCAACTTTATTTAGAAATATGCGATTTCAAAAGTTTGCCGTTCGATTCTTGCACTGATAAAGTAGATTTGAATTTGGAAATCGTTATGGGAATCAGCTGTGATATTTTAGAGAATTTATATCAGGAGTCATATAGTGAAGAATGGCGAGATTTCTTTGATCAATACAATAGTATCGATGGCATTCAAGTCCTCCTTAATTTTTTGAAATATTCCGCATTCCAATTGAAAATTTAATAAATATATCATTATTCTATCTCAGAAATAAAAGTTAAAATTAAACTAAATTATTTTCTCTCAATTCCTATCTCACTGACGAATATTCTTATGAAAAACATGTCTGCTATAACGTAATAAGATAACACCAGAAGATGACTGATCCGATCGAATAAATCCACAAATCGTCTTGCAGGAAATATTTGTGAAAAGACAAGATGAATGGATTAGTCCCAAAGGACCACGTAAACGTTATCAGCGTTTTCGTGATAAGCGTTATATTTGTGATCAATGCGATCGTTGTTTTACTTTAAAGCAAAATGTTCAGTATCATATCGTTACTTATCATCTCGGTAATCAACAGATCATCAGTAATCGTGGCAAGCGTTACGTTTGTCTTACTTGTCAAAAAGTAATCTGTCCATTTATTTCTAACCTTTCCAGACAAATACCATAAATTAGTAAGCAAAGAAAGTAATCTGAAATAATACTTATGACTTCTTAAACTGTAACCCCGTACAATACATTTCAAAGAATATTTAATATCCTGCAAGCAATAAGTACTGAAATGATTTATTCAAATCAAACAAATTTATAAAAGCTAAATTCAGAAATGATTTAAAAAATAAAAAACAAATAGCAAAATAGCAATTAAATTAAAGCATAAAATTGTCATTTCAAAACAGAATCATTGAAAAAAAAGCCAATAAATGAAAACGAAAAGAGTAATTCAATTGAAATTCACTAACAATATTACTTAAATTATTATTTGATTTCAAATGGTTGTAAATTGAAGGTATATCGAAGCGCAGAAGCGGCTCGACAACACAATAAAAGGGAACATTTCCGCTTGCCCAATGTACAAATTCATCGTTGCTCTATATGTACTCGTATTTTCCCAAGTAGTACCCAATTAAAAGAACATATTTCCATACAACATTTGTTAGTTTCCATTTTAAATTTCACTGATTAATTCCTAAGTAAATTTAGGAAATTCCTTGTTCTTAATATGATAGAATGCTAAGTTCGGTTTAATCATTCTTTCACGTAATGGGCAGTCTTTTCTAATCTCACCTGGATCACGTCTTTGACGTTTATCTGATTATTTACTCGACTTAGCACTTGTTTTCTATCTGACGTTGCATTATTCGTTCAGTGCGAGAAATAAAAATGAATTTAAAATTCTCGATTGTAATTAGAGAAAAAATCATTTTCATTTTTCATTTCATTGATAAATAACAAACATTCTTTCAACAAAACTATAATTTCCTCTCTTTAGACAAGAAAGGCCATATATCTGTGACAAATGTGACGCACGTTTTGGTCGACAAGGAGGTCTCAGACGTCATCACATAATGGTACATACAAATCGACGATATAATTGTCCCTATTCAGGTTGCACTCATCCTGGTTTCAAATGTTCTAAGGTTAATCATTTTCTAATGATTTCATCCTTAATCATTTTGTAGTGATTGCTAATCGAAAGAATCCTTATTTCTATGCAAGAGAATGAATTTTATAATAAGATTTAGATGAAAAATTGTAATTATAGCAAAACTTTCTACTTGATTCAAATTGAATTTTAATTGGAAATTTCCTAAAGAGATGAATCATGTTTCCAAATTTTGAGATAAATTTAGTACCATCTTTATTTACATTTTACAAGTTTTTCTTAAATTTTCAGTGCTTTTTTTTTGCAGGCTTTAGTAGCTCACATTCGATCACAACACACTAAAGACAGACCGTTAGTTTCACATTTAAAAAATTTGATATATAAGTGATTTAAATGTGTACAAATTTTTTGTTCATTTGCAATTCTACGACTTTCTTTCAGTAAATTTCTTATGAATAATTTTCGAAAAAATAAATCTTACCTTCAATCACTTTTTTAACTCAATTTTGCAATGTTTTTATGAAATATAAATGCTTATCTCACATTTATCAATTTTGCTTGTCTCATAAAAAAACTATTTTATGTTAATATTAAATGATAGTTGTGATAATAGTCGAACTATAATGTAAGCAACAATTTTACTGCTGCTATAATTAATAGATATTAGTAGAAGTATCCAAAAAACATTTTATATTTCCTATCAATATTTTAATACATTTTTGCTAGAATCTTCATTTTATATTCGAATGCAAAATTGATTAGCAATTTTTTCATTAAAGATCTCATATGATCTGTAATTTTCAGTACATTCATCGCTTTTATTTACGTACACTAAAATACTTTGCTTTTACACAGTGCTAATTCTAATTACAGTTTTGCGTGTTTCGAATGTGGGAAACGTTTCGTACGTCGAAATGATCAACGTGTTCATGAATTGTTGCATACTTCGCATGAGCAGTTTGATTGTAAAAAATGTGGACAACGTTTTCGCCGTCAAATTTACCTTAAGAAACACGAGAATTCATGTCGAGTGATTAATGATAATACTTATTCGTCCATCTGTCAACTTCAACAATAAGTTATAGAACGCATTCACATTCGACATATAATAAAAATCTTTCATTTGCTGTTCAATTCTTATAATTAAATATGTGTACTCCTCTTTGTTTACTTATTTTCTAAATTGCTTTAACAAAAACATTAAATGTATTTTGGATAATAATGCAAATTTTGTTGTATCAAAGGACAAAAAACGGCTCTGATTGCTAGACGTTGACACGTTTTTATTTATCAATACATTTTAACTACTTCTTTAAAAGTAACTAAAATCTCAACAGAACTATTCTATTATATGGAATGATATACCTTTCCGCCGTGGAATAACTATAGCATAATTCTTACCCGTGGGGAAGGGATATATTGGAGGAGGTATAGGTGTATATATCTGCACAATCTAACATATTGCAGGAAATGAGAGATAGAACATTATTTTTATTTTGACAATGCTAATTTATTTTAGTTCAGCTTGCATATTTCTGTATTATGATAGCTTAGCTTTTCTCATTGGAAAATTGAAGCATCCTAACAGTGAAGTCGGTGTTTTTGAAGACAATTCGACAAAATTACATTTAAAGCAATAGTCGTTCATATTTGGAACAATGTTAGACCTAATTTAGTAGCAGTTGATAGCAAATTTTAGCCATGAAGCGAGCCGTGAATTGATTGATATTTCATAGTATCAGCGGCGAAAACAAATTTTGACAAGGTTTCAATTTTGACAAACACTGTCTTACCGTAGTTTATGAACAACACTAATTCCATCTTTACCTTGTAATGTCTGAATTGCAAAGTAGTACACTAAACGTAGCTATAATGAAATAAATCAGGTAATAACAACCGCTCAGGTATATTCATCTGTTCAGCACACCGTTTTGAGTTGGGATGTGACATTTCATAACGTGATATTGTGATGTCACTGTTAAATACCTAGCCTACATTTCCCTGTATTACGGTAAGGTCGCGGCGCGGTGAGCGTTGGGCGTCTCAGCTTGTTGTGGTATCACACGGGCATCTTGCTGCATTTGCCGTGTTGTGGTTTAAATGCATCGAATTTAATCTGATCAGGGTTACCTCGATTATTTGTTTTAATTGCCTTTTCCTGTTGCACTTAGCATTTTTGTACCATCGAAACTTGCAGAATGTTGCTATCGCGAAATACTAATTGAAAATAACTTGTGTATTATGATGTGATAATGTGAAAACTCACGTTCCTAAATTTGTGCAGTATTTTTAGGTTAACAGGGAGAGAAACTGGACAAATGAGCAGTGACGGAAATGTAAGTTATTTTTGACTCTCTCACCATTACTGAATACTTTTTTCTGAAGAAAGGAAGCGGTTTGCAACTGAAATTGCAGCTATAATTGAGAATACTAACAGGTCGTCGTTTTCAGCGCAGTGAATCAGCACCTGCACGTAGTGCGTCACGGAGTCGAAGTGGCACACCGATGGCCTCAGGTAAGAGTAATGGCCATGCTCGATCTCCCTCGGGCTCTCGACCCCGTTCATCATCTCACCATTCACTATCTCAATCACCAGTTCGTGAACGTTCAGCTGCTTCGCGATCGTCTGCTGGACACGAAGCTTCCAGATCTCCTTCACGCGCTCGCTCAAGATCACGCGATGACAGACGTGTTCGCCGCTCACGCTCACCTGAGGAACGAAAACGATACCGATCGCGCAGTCGTGACTCACGATACCGTCGACGAAGGTACTGTCTTAGTTGAAAGGTCTTTCGCTTTCCTCTCGGATCGATTTTACCAGCGTTGTTAAGGTTGTCTTTTTTCATAGCACCAACTTATTATTATTTCACTGATAATAATGCCGAACGGAGTGGGAAGCAACCTCAAATATTATATTAATTGATACTTTTGGCAGTGAGAAAATCAGAACAGCTGAAACGCTGTGAGCGAACAGAATTCAAAAATCAGTCTCAATGAAAACAGAATCAATGAATCAGTGAGGCAGGCAGTTCAATATTGTCAGCGCTCAGAGTGGAACATCACAGTTTCAAGCTCAGAGTTGGCTGTCAAATCCAAATCAGTACAGTTCAGCATCCATCCTCAAATACCCAATGTGCAATGCACCACACCACTACTATCGACAGTCAGTTGTGGTATTTATAATGCCGCTAGTAGTTTAGAATCCTAGTTCTCCACTCCTTATCCTTTTTTCCTTGTACGGTAGTTTGAAGATTTTTCAATTGGTAGTATATGAATACGGACTGTAGCATTTAGGATAGGTCATTTAGGATGGAGGATTGAAGGGCGATTAAAATTTTGATATTCAAGGGTGTCCGCGTATCTCTCTCCATGGTTTATATTTAAAAATGTCACAGCGTTGCAAAATAACTGGTAAGGGTACTGGAAACCCTTCCTGTTATTTGAAAAGTTCGGTCTGGAATATTTTAGCATATTTCTAGTAAATTGACTCAATTCTGCGTTCTTTTCTTTCCTGGGACGTTTGCCTTCAGTAGATATTCAGTGTTTCCATCCGTCCACAAAATCTGTCGATGCTAGCTATGAACCAGATACTCTTGGAATCTGTAAGTATAGAGGAAGAGTTATTGAATGAACATGAAAAAGGACATTGCTTATAATATATTACATATCAGTCATACCAGCCTTTTATTCTGAGTTCACATGAAATTCTGTCTAACTCTTCCTCGTTATTGTAAAGATTTTGTTATTATACTATTGGTAAATGAACCAAGGAGGGGCTGAACTGCACAAAACATTGAAATAAATAACAGTTCATGAATTCCTAATTAGAAAGCATGCTAGTTTGGTGTAGAAACTATTTGAAAATAAGAGAATTATGGACGATATGAAACTGCTTCAACACCACAGTTTCATTTTAGACATGTTTGCCTTCTATAAATTGAATTCTTTATTCTACATAACTCATTGCCAATTTGTGTCTCTTACAGTTCCAGCTATGCTGTAACAGAGTAGGTTAGTTCATGATTTGTAAAAGTTGTCAAAAGCTGCACACTATCTGGTTGTACCGGATTGCAAATCTACGAATACTTAATTCTATGATCCACAGTGTTCGAATTCAAGATACAAGATGCCTATAATAAAACATTAAAATCGTATTCAGCCGATCACCATCGTCGCCAGCTCGTCGGCGCTCTCGTTCACGTCGACGTAGTCGCTCACGTTCCCCACGTCGTATCAGCCGCTATTCACCGATAAGACGAAGTCGGTATAACGACGGTCGTGACAATCCAGAACCATGTTCCTGTCTTGGCGTTTTTGGCATGTCACTTAATACTACTGAACGTGACCTGAAACGAATTTTCGGCGAATATGGGGAAATTGAGTCAGTTCAACTAGTGTACGATCGCTACAGTGGTCGCTCACGTGGTTTTGGCTTCGTTTACTTTGAAACTACGAAGGAAGCAATTCGGGTAAGTCTTTTTTGTCGAAGTTTTATCATATATGGATCATTTTTCCAAATTTGCATCAAAGTGAGTCTAGTTAATAATTCGAAGAAACGAACTTTGTATTTACAGGCTAAAGATCACTTGCGTGATGCTGTAATTGATGGAATGCGCGTTCGTGTTGATTTTTCTGTAACCAAAGGAGCTCCGAGATAGTAAGTACATATTTCGAGCTTGAAAATGTTTGTCTAGGCTTATTGTTTGGGAAGGTTTATATATTTCTAGAATTAAATGGGTATTTAAGTTGCATGAAAATTACGTGTTTCTGGATTCCGAATCTGGTATTCTTTTCGAAAAAGTGTTATCCAGTCCTTGTATAGTTACAGGGGGCGTTCGCCTCGTCGTTCTCGAAGTCGCAGTGTGGACAGTTATCGCAGACGACGTTCGCGTTCTTGAGAAGAGTGCGATGTTGAATAATTTTTTTTTTTTTAAATACTAATTTGTTCTTGTTTATGCTAACATTAATTGTATTCTCCATAATTAGTTCATAATATTTGTTTGCTTCTTGACATCATAAAAGCCGTAGCTATCCCATAAAAATTTGTTGTTATTTCTGGCCTCGTTGAAGGCTCGTATTCTTTTCATTAAGTGTTCAATCACTGAATGTACTGGCGCACAGTGATTTGGCAGCTTGGCTATATATTGGCTAGCCATTTTATCTAATCATGATCTATTTCTTAAGCCGTTGTCAGAACTTCGAACTTCGAATTCAAATATGTGGTATTGGAATAAAGTCAGCCCCTTGGCCGATTTTTATTTCAATAAACGTTATCTTTATTAGTTGCAACAATTCTATGTAGCCGTCATTAGTCGCGCTTTATTGACTTCAGATTATATTTTCCTTGTGAAGTATTCCGTTTTCATTAAATTATCTAACTATAGAACGTTGTTTATACAAATTCACGATATGTCATATCTGTGGGTCGGTTTTTCACATTTTGTTTTACTTAGAAGACGGTATTATGTTTCAACTGAAATGACTGAATACTGAATTTGCGTAAGGCATTGTGATTTTGTCGGGTCTAAAATTGGGTCTTACTGCAGCATATTGAAGGAGGAGTTGCAGGTGTGTTTGTTCGGAAGATGATTGAGGTGGGGCAATTTTATTTCATTTGTTGGTGAATTTCATCAAACATCGTTGACATTGGTGATATTCATGGGGCAGTGTACTCTTGTATTTTGGTTCGAAGAATTCGGGTGTGGTTCTTCAGGATTCGGTGCATTTTTTTATGGTCTGAATTAGCGTGATTTGTGGCATATTTTGTTGAAATTGAGAGTAATAGGTCGTCTTCTGGGGATAAGAGTTGCATATGAAGATGTAGTTATTACATTTCGAAGATTCTGAGGAAACAGGCTTGATGTAGTGTAATTGGCAGACAATTAAGCAACACTTTGCTGCACTTCTTAAAATGTCTTTGTTGATTATCCATTATAGCAATTCTGTTGTGTTATAGATTCATTAAGTTTTCTATTTCATTTTCATTTTATTTAAGTCGTCTTCATTCGATTCCGTGTTTATTTTAACCTTGTTATTTTAAAATACAGAATATTGAATGGGTGGTGAGGATGAATTGTCGATGGGTTACCAAAATTTGTAATTAAAAAGCAGTAGCTGCATAAACTAGGTAAAATAGTTTCTGAGATCATGGACAAATTTCCTGAAGTAGCTATTTTTAATATTCAGAACTATGTATAGCAGTTTATGTGAATAGGGAATTTTAATGTGAAATACATCTGTTACATTTCGCGCTGGGAGAATAGTGCTAATAAATGTGAGAACTTTATGGATTTGATTAATATCTCAATTCCGCATATAATTTAAGAAAACACTACGAAAAATTCCTTAAAAAAAAGTTATAGCATCGTACACCGCTGATGGGTGATATTCATAAGCGAGATTATTCGTGATAAATCCGTCACTTGTTTGGAATGAATTTTAGTTCTACAAATTTATAGTTAAAGTTTGTGTTCCACAGTTTTCGCGGATGAACTCTGTGCTCTTTTAGTGCTATGTTACTATTCAGTCGTCAGATCTATATATTAGCAAGAAATAATGACATCGAATGTATCTCCTGAGACGACAACTTCAACAGTACAACCATCATCTGCAAATGATCTAACATTGGTGGACTACTTTGTGCTTGTCGGACATGATAATAATGCTTTCCTCCAGGCAACTATTTTAATTTTTTTTTCTGAAACTGTTACATGAAATTTAGTTAAATCATCATGTCTAATTATTGGATTTATTTACTTGAGATTCGTATATTGTTGGGTTGTGTTTTTGGACATCGTGCTACCACACTACGCTATAATTTTGGGTTTGCTCCATAAACCGTAAATTAGGTAGTTTCAAATACTCGTATTATTTCAGATTGAACCAGGCGGAACAAATAACTTAGATGCTGCGGAGCTATTATACATCCCACCTTTGGAGCGATCTTACGTTGCCTCAGTTTTGTATCATTTTCCGGAAAGACGTAGCGCATACTCGTTTCCATCCGAAATTGTTTCGGTACATATTTTGTTATCTTCAAAAAACAAGTATTTAGTAGAAAAAATCTCAGGCTTCATACGTTATAATTAAATGATATATACAGTACTATGATTTTTGGGCCTTAAAATATAAGATATATCGTATAGTATCCTCACTACTCAAAATTTCATGTATAAGATCATTCAGAGGAGGAATTACGGTTTGAAATTAATTTTTTCCGTATATACATCATTTCTTAAAGAGCCGTTTAATCGAATTCATCCCATCTAATTTTCTTTCGCCTTCAGAATTTCTCTGATCCCTTTGCCAACATATTAGTTCTTTAACTAATAGTACAGATTAATGTGAAATTTAAGAGTTATCTTGTTTCTCTGAAGCTGTTTTTCCGTGATTCATACCTTTTTTTTGTGACTTGTAGCTTTAAAAAAAACTGTAGCCATGGTTTGTTATGATAGTTGTAGAAGAAAATCGAGAAAAATGATTGTATGTTCTTGGAATAATGGATTTTCAATAAAGTCGGATTGGAGCATTCTTTACAAATAGTCAGTTTTTATGCAAATTTATTGTTTAAGCTATGTATGCCAAAAGGCTTGAAATTTTACACGCAAAACGATGTTCCACCTCCAGCTATGCATACATTTGCGAATATTCGTGAAGATGGTTCACGTATTAACGGTTGTGCACTTATTTATTATGAGGTGAGTCTCTAATTTAAAATAAAAACCTCAGTTTATGTTGTGAAAAGATGTCAAGATTATTATAATATGTTAAAAAGAGTCCATGCATCAATATTTCATATTTTTATTGAGCATGGATCCTTAAATAATGAGTGGGAACGTATCCAAAAATATGAGAACGTTCATCTCCAAAAATATTTAAATAACATATCCAAAAATGTTGGATTAGTTGATTAGAACATCAGATGAGATTCAAAATACATTTATATGTAATTATGGACTCATTTCAATTATAAAAATTAAACAACCAAGCACTTAACATATAAAGTTTCACAGAATTTCTAAAAAATTCGGTAAACTGCAAATTCTCATTTCAGCCTTGTTTTCTGTTAGTAACTGTTTGAGAAAGTTTTATTCCTTGGAAGAAATTTAGGAAGTTAAAGATACTAGACTATGTGAGTACATGTCACAGCTGCATACCGAACACGTACGGGTCTTAACAGCTCGCGAAAAAGCCACTGAACGTGCACACGTTCCTCCCGGTACTGTTTCTGGTGGTACACATACTCTTCCCAGAGGAAATCGTAAGGTTTGCTTAAATTAATGACTTGTTTTTTTATTTTTTGTTATGCTAGAACTTTAACTTACCAGGTAAGCATTCTGATGATACGAGTCCTGTCATACCTTGTAATTCTGTTTGCAGAATCGAGCAAAACGAACTTCATACTACGAATCGGGCAATTCTCGGTTATATGTGGCTAAATGTATCTGCCTTATTACCCGCATACCTTTTGTTTCTGCCGGTGAACATCTACTGACTGCACTTCATTCTTTATTCACTTCTGAAGTACAGCCTCCTCCTCTTCCTCTGGAGAGTTATATCTATTGGATTTTGAATGAGGTTCAGAAGTTATATGCAGCACATTCTAAAATGCTTTTAAATTGTCATTCAGATTTAGGTAGAATCAGTCAAATTTTAACTCTGCTTCGATGTCTGAATTGTAGGTTAAATTTAATTATGGACCATCTATAGCAACTTTAATTTGTATTTCAAAACATATTAACATAATTTTATTCTTTCTTGAAAAATCTCGTTTCAGGTTCCACTTCCAGCGCCGGGTAGCACATTAAAGATATGTTTGGATCGTGTTGACATTGTTCTGCAAAGGCCAGGTCCTAATGAACTACCTTTTTTCGATCATCCTATCAGTTCGTTGTTCGATTTGCTCACTGTTGATAAATTTCTTCGACTTTTCACGTGTTTTCTTCTTGAACATCAAATATTACTGTGTTCCAGGAGTTAGTGTTTCTTTTTTTGCTTTTTGCTTTTTTTTTTTTTTTTTTCTGCATTTCAGATTTTTTTAATCTAGTTTCAGTGATTTATTTACAATTTCATACTCTTGCATTACTCTTCTTAATATTAAATTTCATGATAAATTTATTTTGATGACCGTGATACTTTAGGTTTCCAACGTTTAATGCTAGTAGCTGAGAGCTTGTGTTCATTGGCTTTTCCGTTCCGTTGGCAACTTACATACGTTCCAATTTTACCTTACTCTCAGTTGAAGTTTATGGAAGCACCGGTGCCTTTTGTAATGGGTTTATGTTACGAAGATACCATATCAGAACAAATTTTTCAAGTTAGTAATTAAACCTTCTTTTTTTTTTTGAAATGCTAGCTGCAACTTTTACTGAAATGTTTTACTGAAAACTTGGTTTTTTAAAAGAAAGAGAAAAATTATTTCTTTTGTGTGAAAATCCATAAAATTTAGGGCAACATATGTGTCCTAGATATCGATTCCGGTGTACTAAATATGCCGGAAGATGTACCAGCACTACCAGATAGAGTTGAATTTGCAAAAGAAATTGCAAGCGTTCTTATGAGGTGATGTTCCTTTCTTCTGTTAATTGATGTAAATAAATTTTAACGGTTGTGTAAAAAGAATTAGCTGTGTAGGTCACTTTTTTTTTAATGTAAATTTGGGCTTTTAAGAATATATACAACAATATAATACAAAATAGTTTGTTTTATATTTGTGGTATTAATCTTTCTCAATTGTTTGCTGAAAGTAGGATAGCATACACTTACTATGGAGTGATTGTAACATGATTGTAACAAAGAGTTTAAAAAAAGAGTTTAAGATATGAAGAGCAGAATGCAGTTTTGGATGGTGAAGTAGTGAGACGACAGACTGGTATCACAGAAAAGGATGGCTGGTATAAGAAACGCATGTCCCGTTCATTTGACGGCGAAACATTATCAGATATGCTGGAGGAGGATAATTCTTTCAGACAAATAGTGTCAAGAAAAGATCTTGCTCCATTGCCTTTTGACGATGTCCTAAAACAGAGTGAAGTTTTAGCTAGGTAATTTTTTTCACTGCTTATTTATTTTTAAGACTATAGCTTATTACCTTCACGTTGATTCATTTTTTTTTTTTTTTTTTTTTCATTATAAAACGTTTTATTTGATATTTTCAGAGTTACTGCAATTGCACATCGTGCAGGCGTTAGCATACCGTTTGAAAATATTCAGAAAGAGTTGCAATCCAATGATCTTTATACAAATTCTCCAGTATGTCGCGAATATTTTAAGGTAAATGTTATAGATTTCTCTCGTTATCTTGCAGTAAGGTAATGTAATATCTCAGAATTTGCTTTTTTTTTTGTTGATAACAAAAATACTGATATGTTCTAGATAGTATTCGATTAACGATACATATTTTTAATTGCAATACAAGGTTAATTTTTGCTTGTTGGAGTGAAATGATGTATTATTTAATCTCAGTCTTTTTTTATTAATAATAGTAAGGCTTGTAGAATATTTTTAGGATATGAAAATAAATAATGCTCTCCGTGAAGTGTTTATCAATCGATTTGCATGGCTTCTTTACTCCTATGAACATTTTGTTATCAATCCTGCGTGCCAGGATCTTGAAACATATTTTGCTAGTCGAGAATCGGTTACTAATTTTGACAAAGCAGCTTTTCTTTCCGACCAACCAAGTAAAAACCTACCATTTTTGGCTGCATTCTTAGAAACGCAGGTATGATTATTTATTTCATCTTTTTCTTGTCTTCTATAATTTATTTGTCTTTTTCCAATCTACTTTTCCTGAAAATTCTTTGGTGGTTTAATTGATAAAGTATAATTATTTTAATATGCATAAAGTTTGATGTTTTCCAGATGTTCACTTCATTCATTGACGCGAGAATTGTTTCACAGTGGGAAGCAACAGCAGACGAAAACCTCATAATTTTCGATTCTCGAATACAAACATTACGTACGAAGTATGGTCTTCAGATGGTGCGTACTCCTACTTACGAGAAGGCTCCACCATCCTTCGATTCAGGTTTTACTGAATAAATCATTTGACTTGAATTGTATGGAAATTAGTATTTAATTGTAAATTAGTATTTAATTGAATATTTTTTCTGCTTACTGTTAAGAAGTTATCATTTTTTCTACTTCTAAATATGCATCTGTTTTCTTAATAAATCGCTATCCAATATTTATCTGTGATAGATGGCGAGGAATTAATCGCAAGCAGTTGCTTTCTTTTTGAATCGTTAAGATATTTGTGTCATATGTTTCTGCAGTATCGTAGGATAAATTAGGAAGCAATCTTTGAACTAGCTTGATCCAAATAAAACATGGTAAAATTGGAAGTAGTAAAAATAAGGACTGGAATCATTATAAAATTAAAACAATAACTTAATAACTTCACTAAAACTTAAAATTCCCATTATTGTTTGGGAACTTTTCTGCAGAAGAAACGATAACAAGACGTGAAGAGGCACTTGATTACATTGTTCCTCTACCACATGAGCTTCCTGGTACATCGGCAAAAGCATATAATGGTACGTTTCCGGAACTTAATGAAAGTGTTTTGGAAGGTTCTTTTGTGCGAAGTCCAGCACCATCACCGTGGAAACAACGCCACAGAAGGTTGAGGCCAAAGTTGTTAGAGGTTAGCCTTTTGAAGTTGTCTTTATGATTTTGTGTTTTCCTGGAATTACTCTGTATTTATGATACTTCAAGGTTAATTTTATTGCAGAGTATTGTTGTGGATGGTAGCACATCAAATAAACAGAGCTCATATAAATCGGATACACCAAGGCAAATAGCACATCAGAATTGGAAATTTGTTGAACAGTTGTTGAAAGAAACTAAAAGTAAGCATTCAATTACTGCCATATTCTAGATATATTAGTAAGCATATAATATAAATCTAGATTAATTTATTGTTCTAGGTAAAACAAAGCGAATGCTTGTGGAAAAAATGGGTAGGGAAGCACTGCAACTTGGACACAGTGACGCTATTGTGAACGGTCTTGAAGAGAATACTTTAGTTGCTTCATTTTGCGATTTATTGGAACGAATCTGGGCCCATGGTTCAGTGAAGAAACAGGTAACTTCAGTTCCATTTGAATGGAATAAAACGCTTATTAATAGTTGTTATGAAACCTTGTAGATTTCTTTACCAGATAAAAGCGAAACTACAGCATTTGGGGGTTTCCTTTCATTTATTATTTCTAGTAAACTGATTAATATATATCTGCTACCTATAAATAAAACTTTATGATTTAAGCAGGCGAAATTTTAGCATTTCTTAATGAATCATTGATGGAGTAATATCCAATTTGAAAGTTTAATTAATTTTCCGGTATGTTTCATTTTTTTACATGCTTTCCGTCACATATGTGGAAAAAAATTCGTTGTTGGAAATTTTTTAACCGGAAGTGGAAAATTGGGATATATTACATTTTTCAGTTGTAATCAATTTTGCTATTCTGAATGAGCTTTTGTAATATATTTTCAAAGCATATTTGAACAAATTAATGATATGTTTAGCGATTTTTTGTAAAATTGCCATTTAGGGCAAATCATCCTTATGGGCTCATATCTTACATCATCAAGAAATTGAGAAGTTGGGAATATTGTCCCGTGGTCATACACGGAGAAATTCAGCACTAACTCCAGGTATTTTATCAAAGATAAAGATGTAGGAAGTTATTTTTGGGACGAGCTGTTTCCGTAGTAAGGTTTGAATAAGAATTTATGTTCTACTACACTATTGATCCTTTGTTAGAGATAGTACTTGATAATCGTACAATAAGCGATTTTCTATTTCGTAAAAATTTGATAAGTGAGATAAATAGACAAATAATAATATGAAGCGAAAATTTGAGTCAACTAAAAGCAGTTTACAGCGTTTACATGGCTGTTATTCCGTCGTCACTTTGAGCGTAAGCAACATTTTATATTATCTGTTTTTGTGAATGAAGCTTTCGTGCTACTTTTACTTGCTCATTATGGTACTGAGGTGTGCAACGTGAATGTGCGTTCGTTGTTAAAATAATGCTTTAAGTGATAGTGATGACGCGTTTTTTATTCTGATTTTTAAGTATTTTTTTATTTTACTGAAAATCATACTAAATGTTTGTAATGTCTGCAGATGCTTTTGCTCACTTTATTCGATCTGTACATCTTTTCATTTGGTTTAAATTTTTTTATGTATATTGGGATAGATTTTCGGGAGAGATAACAAAGGGTGGAAAGCGTTGAAATTATTTGTTGATATAGTTTGAAGTAGATCTATTCCATCATTTCATTTATCATTTATCACTGGCGTGTCGAGTTATCTTTTGTTTCCAGATTCTTAAACAGTTCCATATTGTTTTTTTTTTTTTTTTTTTCCTGTTAGGTTTTAGCAGTGTTCTTCTAATGGAGCTATTGTCGAACTTCGTATTATTTCAGTAAAACTGATAGAGAATTTTATGAAGCAGGATTCCAAGATTCATTTTTCAAAACACCATTTTCATCGCGTCTATTCGGTCAATTCTAGGTGTAGTTGAGATAGAACAAGAATACATGAAGGAAGAAAAGACATTCGTAAGTGGCATGGATGAGGATACAATTAACGAGCTTGCACGAACCTTTCGTCAGCAATGCACTGATGATCCTCATACGCCTGGCTGGTCTCTTCCAATACTTCGTGCCGCTAATTTCATCTGTGATAAACTAAGTTCGAGTGTGAACAGCAACCTGGAATATTCGAACTGGAAATCGCCAGCTCGAACAGTACGCCCATCATGTCCAGTTATTTCTGAACGCTCCAGGTCACCGCAGAAAATGTCGAGGAAGGGGGCTATTTTGCATAGAGCAAATTCTTTTGGTGGTAAGATTTTGAATGATATCAAGTTTGACATAGTCCGATTTGTTTGCAGTTAAGTTTGCTGTCAACGATGTCTTCGACTTTAACCCAATTAAATAAGGCTATTCCTCATAAAATATTATTGTGTTGTTGTGTTAATAACTCTTAACGATTACAATTAATGCTAATTGCTAATGTTCCTTACAAGCACATATTTTAGGCAGTATTTCCTAACCCTGACAAATATCATTTATTTAACAATACTTGTCAACTAAATCAAGAACTTGAGTTGACTATTTTTTGTGAATAATAATGGACTTCACAAAAGCTGTACGCCAGATAGAAATTTATATGGTCAAATTTTAAATCCATCTGCTGATAGCTTGCTTTGCTTTTAAAACTGTAATTTAATTGAAAACTTATACAACTAAAGTTCACTTTCAGATGAAATAATTTAGGATAACATTACTTAGGAGTACCAACGAACGTAACTTTTGGATTCGTAACTTTGCGCATTACCAAACTGAATTTAATTAATTGGACTTAATTTATGAAATTAATATTCATATTTTATAGCTTAATTTTAGAGATCAAATAATGATTCTTGAGGAGTAAATCCACGCTTGATTGTAGCAGTCGATAACAAATTCGTGAATCTTTATTTTTGATGTAGATAGTTCATCCAAACTGTTGCTTAATTCATTATCTTCAAACGATTCATTACATTTAGAGATCAAACAATATCTTTTTAAAGCAGCGAATTTTTTCCTTTTTCTTTTATATGCTTTTTTTGCATTTGTTGCATTGCTGCAGAAGGAAGTGCGTTGCAAGACGACTATATCTGTTCATTCTCACTATTTGCATGTTTTACTTCCCTCTAATTGTGTTGTATTTGTCGAAGAGTTATCTAAAATTATTGGTATGTCTTCTTTGTGTGCTAAATTACATTCTGTGAAATTGCTTAGAACGATCTAATTCTCGCAGAAGCTTTTTCTTCTAACAAGTGATGGGTCGTAGCCATTTCAATTACTTTACAAGTTAAACTTTTTCTGTATTCTTGATATTTATTTTGCTCGACATCCACAGTTCGTTTTACTTATCTCTAATAATACTGTTATTTGTTGATAAAGAAAAGTGAATAGTATTTCACTCTCAGATTTTTTTGCATGTAGATTTATTGTTACGTTGACAAAGGTAAAAAGTTAAGATACATAGATTTGTTAGACTCAAGATTTGTTCTATATCTGATTTTTAAAGTTTATGTTTGTGAAATATAATGTTCTCTCTGCTTATTAATGTTTTATTTCTTAAATATCGTAGAACTGGTCAAAATGATATATTTTTTAGATTTCGCTCCATGGACTACAGCTGGAAATAATGTGGATGAAAATGTAACTGATTCATCACGTAAAAGGAGTAATTCGAGAACTGGTAGTCCTGATATTCGACAGTTCTTTACACCACTTCCTATGCATATTGCTTATGATTTGAAGTATGTTAGAATCTTTGAAAAAATATGAATCAATGAAATATTAAATGTATTAAAAAATTAAATGTTAAATATTAAATGCAGTAATAGCTGTTTTAATGGAGTTTTTTTTTTTTGTTTTTAAAAAGAAAATGGATTACTGACCGATATTTCAGGAATGTCTTACGGATGACAGATATCAAAACTGACATTGGTTATGCGCGGGCATTTGTTCGCCTCGCTTTAGAAAGAAAACTTCTTCATAAGCATCTCAAAACCATTCTTGGCAACACGCATCTCTTACAGTTAGTTTGATTCACTTATAATTGGTTCTTAAATGTTAGCGATTCATATTTATTTTTAAATTACTACTATCGTTGTCTACAAGACACTCATTGCTATATTCTTGTTGACCGACGAAAATGAATTGTTTATAAAACAAAAATGACATGTGATTCATTCTATCTTTAAAAATCAGAATTCTGCTTTGCTGTTAAAGTATTTATTAAATTGACGAAGCGGAGTAGTGGAAATGTTTTTACGTAGAGGGAATTTTATTGAGGAATAATTAATTCTGATTCAGTCATAATGAGTTTGTTTTTAGGCAGTTATATAAACGATATGCCTTTTTACGGTGCGACGACGAAAAGGAGCAATTCTTATATCACGTGTTATCACTAAATGCAGCTGAATTTAACTGTTTTACCAACTCATTCAAGAAAACAAGTCATTTGCTCATACTTTCACTATTTTTTTTAGGACTCGTATGCATTTATAGATACTATAAATTTAATCAAGGATAAGCTTTAATTATTAGGAAGATTGCGTGATTGTCGAATGTTCTAAGACCAAGGAATCATCTTGATTATTTTATTCGAATAGCGGCAGTAATCGAATAACAATGAAAATAATATTTCTGACTAACTATCTTACTGATTTTTTAAACTCCTGATGGTCTCAGAACGCATTTCATATTATTTTTAACCTGGACTTTATCTGGATTTTTTGTTTAGTTGTATTTTGAATGGTATCTTTGTAGACTCATGTCACTAGGCGAAAATTAATGCTCAAAAGAAAAAATATTATGACTTCCGTAATACCATCATTAGTTTTGGAACGTTGTTCATACAGTATTTTCTTATTTTTTCGTCATTCCAGAAATGCAGTACCATGTTTTGTTGGTTAGTCGAAATTCACGTCCAGTTATTTCATGGCCTGTATGGGTGATTATCACGGGATCGTTGTGCTCAACGGCTCCAATCGAACTAAAACAGGGCATATTCGATTTCACATTCGATGTAAGCATACATGGTTATTCTACTGCAGATCTTTATTTTTGATATTATGGTTAGCTAAAGTTGTATTTTGAATGGTATCATATTTTCGACTTTTTAAGGCAGATGAAATTTAACAATAAATGTTATATGGTTCAAATTTCATTTAGTTTTAATAATTTTACTTGTAAACTAAATCTTTTTAATGATGTCCTTCACTGAGAAAAGCTTATCGCAAAATTTTTTTAGCATAAAAATCTTGGTATACTGTCAACGTTAAGAATTGGGCATGGTAATTTAAATGTTTCTAATGGGACATCTCCGAAGTGGTTTCTTGATTATGTTCGTGATACTTTTTTTTTGCAATTTTCAAGGAAACAATGATGTGACAGATATCTTTACAATTTTCTATTTTTTGCATCTGACTACATTAAGAATTTCCAGAAGATGTGTTTCCATGAAATTTGTTTATGTAACTTAAATTTCGCTGTAGATATTGGTACGAAATGAAATAACAGGACAGAGTTATCGCTTTAACTGTGGTCGCTGGTTTGGTAAAGGAATTGATGATGACTCTCTAGAGAGATTGCTTGTTGCCGAAAAGGAACCACAGGTGTGTTTGTCACTGAAAGTGTTTTGTCAGTGAATGTAACCGTTAGAAGTTATAATTGTTTTTAATTCTAACGATTAATTGAGAATTTTAAACTAAAGTAGCCGGATTTGAACTATATATTTTTACTTACACAAGATACCTTTTTATCAAAACAGTAAGAATTTATCAGACAAATTTTTATCAGTTGAATTTACAGAATTTTTTGGTTTTAGATTGCTCCTATTTTAGATTGCTCCTAACGAAATATTAATCGAAGAATATTCTGCTGAACGTATTATTAAAGCTAATTTGAAAAGTCGATCTCCTCCTAGGTCCCGATCACCAAGCACCAGCCGATCTGAAATATCAAATCATAAATCATCAAGTAGCATTTTAAGCTTTCATTATTTTTCAATTATTGTTTTAGCAGTTTACAATTATATGGAAGCGGAAAGTTAACTGTTTATTTTATAGATGGATCACAAAATGAGTTTTGATAGAGGTTGCAAATGTCAAATTGCAAAAATATTCAAAATCCACTTTATTTCTAGATGCAAAAGTGTATGACTTTGCAGGTGCACATTTGACAGAAATTCAGCAGCAGCTTGGAGAAGCAGTGAACGCGTTAGTGAAGTACTTCTACATTAATACGGAAGGTCGTAGTCGTGGCGAATTGACACAGTTACTTTGCGCGCCAGGGAAGGGTTTCGTAAGCGTAATGGTTGTTGTTTTCACGTATGGCCGTCAGGATTCCATTTGGTCGTCTCGTCTTTTTCGTTCATACTACCCATGGGATTACATTGGTAAGTATCATGAAATTATAATAAAATTTCAGATGAATTTCAGATTTTATTTTATATCATTTTAGATCATTATTTTACTTTGCTAAACGAATTCATTTTGCATCTTGATTTAAGTATCATCTTGATGATATGGTCTTGAATACTATATCTTCTAATTTATTATTGTTTCAGAGAAGGTTTGCATCTGGTTTTGGAATCTAGTACATATGGGAGATGAAAATAAGCTGACTCAGGAGCAACGTTCTCTTGTCATTCAAGCATGTCGCCTTGTTCGCCGCATTTCTTCCAATACTTTTCTGGGAAAAGATGGCAAATTCCAGTTATTCATTTTAATTGCTGTTCGGTAAATCATTTTGCTGCTAATAATCATTTTCAGTCTTTCATAATCAGAAACTGAGCATATAGCTTTCTTTTTCGCTAAAGATGCTGCATAAAAGTTAAGTCCGGAAACAACTTACAAGTTTTTTTCAGAGATCATATACTGTCGGGATTGTTGCCATTGATGGCTTGGACTCCGATAACTTCGCAGATGTACGAAGAGCCATCTTTTCTGCGAACACCGCATTATTTAAACTACTTATCAAAATTGATTAGTTCACTTAATGAATTCCAATTTGTCCTGGAAAAATCACTCACATATGGTATAGAGTGACTTCAGATTTTGTCACTAAAATCCGTTTGATTTTCTTTATTTGTCTTTTTGTTTCCTTGTTTGATTCAGGTATTACTTTAAGACTTAATTGTAATGTACATCTTCAGTCGTGTTTTAAAGACTGAAAAGAGAAAATGTCAGATCATTCTACCAGCTAAAGCGATTATAACTTTAAAGCTTTTCGACTTTGCTTTCCATGTTCTAATCTATATTTAAAAAATAATTGACTTAGACTTTGATGTAATTTGACCTCAAAGTCTAAGTTTGGCATATTTATAAGGATGATCGATTCTATAACGATTAAATATTATATTTACTTTTAGGAATAGCTATTTTAAATAGCATTTTAACCATACGCATCGACTGAAAGAAATAAAATGTCATTGTTTTCGTTTTACATTGTTACTGCTCTGAATTTCTTGAGGCAATTGTTGAAAATACATACATTCAAACGATATCTTTTTGTGGTGTATTAATTTAGCCAATTTATAGTACTTTTCAAGCTATTCTAAGTACTCTAAATTTATTAAAAATTTCTGGTGATGCTATCAATAGTTCCTCAACTAGCTTGACTCAGAGAATCTTGCTGTGCAACTTGCCAACTACGAAGTAAAGAATTCAAGGTTTTGGATTTTCTGTTCTAAATATTTTCAATTGGATTACTTATTTTGAAATTGTGTTTTTTTTTTCATTTTATAACATTTGCATTTTCGAGTCTTTCAGTTTCAACAAAATGCTATTATTTCGAGTTTTCTTTTAAATTATGAATTTCAGTTTCACCTGACTGCGTGATAGTGCTTTTTACATACCTTACTGTATTTCGGTGTATTTGTTTTTTCATCGTTTATAAAATCTATTTATTTCATGAATTTAGTCAGTTGTATTTTAAAAATGCTACGTCATGTTGTTTTCCTATGTTTTTATGTATTAAATTATAAACTTGTTTACCATGATTTGAAAATGTGTACTGTGTTCCAGAAAATTAAAGTATGTGCTTGAGATTTTTTCTTGCAAATCTTAACACTTGGCATTCTTTCAAAATTATCCGCCTAAAGGACTTTATTTTTTAAATATATTTACAAACTTCATACAGCTTAAGACTGAAAATTATGGTTTTAGGAACATCGCACAATCTGATCTGCTCCCAATTAACTGGTACATAACTCTGCATTTAAATTGAAGGATTTAAATTTTTTGTTAGCGTTCTTTTTTTTTTTTTTTTTTTCTGATTAATTCGTTTAATCCAATATTTCATCGATGGGATAAAATCATAATAATTACAACTTTTTTGTAGATAGAGCATCTTGTATAAATCATATTTTGTCAAAAGAATTAGACGGGAAACTTATAAGGAATTAATTTAATCAACTCAAAAGTTGTGTGGAATTGAAATCTACTCGGATTTATGGAGAAGCATTACGAATTGCAATAAATAGTTGACGACCAATATGGAAGATTCACCGCTTTTAATTCGTGTCAGTACGGCAGTAGCTTATGCTGTATGTTCAGTACTAGTTGTTTTTATCAATAAAGTATTGCTCACTAACTTCAGGTTTGTTACCATTTCATTAACTTTAAAAAAAATATATTTATTTGTTTATTTATTTATATTAAAAGTAGGCAAGTAATTGCAGAATGTATTTATTTTTTCGAATTTATATTATAATGTTTCACTTATATCAATGATCTAATTATATGTATTCCTCAGTTCAGATTTCCATCATTTTTAATTGTTGGATTAGGACAGATGACAGCAACTGTTATTGTTTTGTGGTTTGCTGCTCTCTGCAATTTCGTTTCAGTTCCAGCATTTGATTCATCCGTTCCGCTTAATGTAAGTCGAATCACATGTGCAGTATCACAGAACTACTAAAGACAACAAAATAAATTATTAAAAAAAAAAAAAAAAAGTTTCTGTGAATTGAACTGGACAGTTATAATGATTTTTGAATTCCGTTTTATTCGGGTGTATTTTTTTTTTTCAGGTTTTTCCATTGCCAATATTTTATGTTCTAAATTTGATATCTGGACTAGGTGGTACACAGAGGATAAAGTATGTTTTTCATTTTGTAAATCATAATATTTTCATCGTTCACTTGCAAATTTCATTTAGTATTAAATTGCATGTAAAATTATATCAATATTTCCAGTCTTCCGATGTTCACTGTGTTACGTAGATTCTCAATCTTGATGACAATGGTGCTAGAATATGTTGTACTTGGGTTAGTTTCTACTTACTTATCTTTATCTTCATATCATAGCTTTGGATTCTATTCAGAAATGTCTAAAATTTTAACTGCTGATTGTTTATTTACTTTTAGATCTGATTTAGTAATACACACACAAAAATTCCATCTATCACACGAGTTTTTTAGTGTACTCAGTTTTTATTATTAATTTAATTGGGAGTCAGTCAGTATCCAAGTGGGGAAGACTTCCTTCAAAAAAAAAAAAATTTGTGGATAATGTCTTTTCTAAATTTGTTAATTTGATGTAAAGTTCAAGCTTGAAACATTTCCAAATTGCCAACGTTTTCAGTTTTACAGGGTGAAGGCATCGTATGCGGTGAAAATCTCGGTTGCTTTAATGATTTTAGGTTCTGTGATTGCAGCTGTGTAAGTTTATTTGATTTTTACAATGTCCATATAATATGACTGTAGAGTGACAGTTAAGCTGTTCGCTGGTTCATTTAAAACATGATTTAATGTTGAAGAATATTACTTTCTATGGATTCATCGAAGTTTTACTGCTATGAAATTTCTTGGCAAGGTGATTAGTTCTATTTGGTGCGGAATATGAAATTCGATGTAAATCCTTTTGCTACGGTCGTATTTTGTGATGATTGCAAGAAGGGCTTTTGATTATTATGCGAGTAAATGTAACTAAAAGTTCACTTTTAAGGGAAAAAAATGAGAAGCCGAAGAATTCTATATATTTTCAAATTTCAGTTTTACGGGATGAAAGAATCCATCTATTATAAATTCTTCTGCTTCTTATATAATTAGAACTTCATACAGTTGCCATTTCGCAAAATTTTGCTGAATTTCATGTGCCTTAAGCATAGTACTTTGTCAGTATTAAATTAAATTTATTAATTAATTCAGTCATTCATATCATTATATTACCCAAAATTTCGCTGGTTTACTAGGAATAACTTTTAGTTTTGCTGTATTACTGTAGTTTAAAATTAGCATTGCAGAAAAATTTATTCTTCCAATTTACAGGTTTGATTTAACATTTGATATATGGGGATATTCGATGATTTTAACCAACGACATTTGTACAGCCGCTAATAGTGTTTACATAAAACAAAAGCTTAATGCTAAGGTATAACTTTAGTTTTTATTGTTCTCACATAACCATTTTCATATATAGTATCTTTTTTCCTGTACTTTGGCTTACTGAAAATCAGACTGTTTCAGAAGTTTGGTAAATATGGCATTTTATATTACAATGCATTGTTTATGATTTTTCCTGTGATTGTTTTGGCCTGGATAAATCAAGAATTTGAAAAGGTATTGAACTTAAAGTGGCTTAGTTTTTTCTCTTGCAGCAGGATTTGTTTGTTATTATTATTATTAATTAGTTAATTAAATTATCAGTGTTATTATTATTATTTATTATCACCGCATCATTCTGGCAGGACAATCCTTTTCACTATTGCTAATTTATCGGTATTATTATTGTCATTATTTTTACTACTTTTAATTGCGTTTTTTTCTTGCAGTTAATCTCAATGATTTGAAATTTAGGTTTGGATGACATTCTGCTGACTAACTTGCAAATTAACTTAGAAAATTTAAAGCAAGCATAAAATATTTTGAGTTTGAAACACTTGAAAACAGTGATGTTTTTTCTTTCTATTATAGAATTTCTTACATGAAAACAAGAGTTGGAAAATGAAGTGTCTCACATATGCTTAAAGTGACATATTGATTACTTTCAAAATAATCAAAATAATTGATTACTTTTTAGGTGCATCAATACATAATCGCTGGAAATATGACTATATGGGTAGCTGTTTGTTTATCGTTTTCATTTCTTTGCGGATTCTTACTCAATTATTCGATTATTTTATGTACGCAGCACAATAGTGCCCTTACCACTTCATGTATTGGTCCAATTAAAGTGAGTGCATGTTATTTTCCCAAAATATTTTTTCAAACGCTTTGAGTCACTTATCTCTTACTGCTAAATAAACTTCAACTGGAAAATGTAATGTCTAGCTAATTTGCATTGAGAATTTTTATGTGAAAGAGAACCTTCACTGCTTAACTAGCTAGACCTGCGTTCATTTAGTCGATTGTTTTACACGGTGATGACTTATTTTATTCATATTATAGAAGTTTTCTAAACCATCTCGTAGTTTTATATAATAGATGAATCACCGCTATGTAAAATAATCGATTAAAAAAAAAATAATCGACTTTTGGTCATGAATTAATGAATAGCAAAAAATTGAGATTTATTTCAATTTTCTGGAAATTAAGTTTGCATAGTATGAAAATGAAAAGAGTACTCTTTATACGTGCAGAATACGGATGAACTGGTAAGACTACAAATGAAAATCATTTATCACATATGCATGGTGTTAAACGTCAGTGGAAACTGCAGCTATATCCTTTCCTCTCCAAGTTGTCATCCTGAATGAATGAATGAATGAATGAATGGATGAATCTCCTGCAATTAAACTCTATGCCACACTATCTGCCAGAATTTAATATCAAATTGTGTTTTTTTCTTTTCCTTCTATCTTCAAACAAAGTTTTATATTTTAGAATTTACTTGTAACTTATGTTGGAATGTTCTCATCAGGCGATTACTTATTTGGATGGAACAATTTTATCGGTATCAATATCAGCATTATGGGAAGCCTTCTTTATACTTATGTTACATTTAAAACAGAGACAAAAGGTACAGAGCAGAATGCTGGAATATTACCCAAAGTTGACGACAAACAACCTTTATTGTAATATTTGGATATATTTTGGCATTAACCTGTTATGTTTAAGTGTTGGGATATAAATCGAGAATTTTAAAGAACTGAATTCGTGTCTCCGTCAGCCTATTTTTTTAACTAGTTCCCCATAAAAAGATAACAGTCCATTATCAAAAATTATTTTTTGCTTCCCCCTCTGTTCAAAATAATTTCATTTCTGCTCTAATTTTTGTTGGCATTTTCCGCATATTGCTATCTTCGCTATACTGCACATTAACAATGTGTGTTATTGATCTCCCGCCTAATCGTTAGATTATTTGAGTTCCATTTTTCTACAGTTTATACTTGTTTCCAGTATTATGCAGTTCACTGAAAGAAGTTCAGGGATATCGCGTAGTTGACATAAATTAACCAAAATAACTTCAATAAAGTATAATTATTTACTTTTTCTTGATAATCAAGAAATAATATTAGAGTAAAAAAGCGCTCTGATTCAATCAGCGATACTAGACAATGTGAGAGAAACCTGCAGTAGTACTTCGTGGCGTTGTTTGATGCAATGTGAGCTTTCAGTACTTCATTAGGCTAAATTGCGTTTACCAATGAAATCGGATAATTTAAGCTAATTGTAAGAGATGAATAATTTGAATAAAAAATCGTCAACGAAAAACAAGTACCAGAGAGCTATGCAAAAACACCGAACAGCTTACTATAAGAAAGACAACATAAATACGGCAACATGAATGAAAATAAATCTTACTCCTTAGAATAGAAAACATGTTCTTTGGAGTTCATTAAAAAACATTTTATAAAACATCGTCCCGGGGACTGAGATCCACAGGTGGGACCGAAATATGTCAAATAAAAGAAGTAAACAACTGTCAACTGGCATGCAAGCTTCACCAATTAGTCTTTCTTCACAATTAAACCTCACAAGTACTAGTACCTGAGAAAAGGTACATATGAAAATGAAAGGCCATAAAATAAGCAGGCGTAAATCAAAAAACTGATACATTGTTGATGCAACATTAGCTTCCTGACAGCAAATGAATATCATTAGGAATAACGGAATTGAGAAAGGATGCAGAGTAATAGATATTTAATGATAGTTTCAGTTTATATCATCAAAAATGTGTGCTCAAAATCCATCAAGTTTTACACTGTTTCAGCATTATAATTAACAGTGTACAAAGCAACTACTTTTACCATGTTCAAGTATTATGGAAACGTGACGACTTGATTTATAAAACAGGAAGATAAAAAGCGGTAAATGTACAACAATTGCAAAAACAATAAACAGCAAAAGAAGGCTCAGAATTTAATTTATCCTAAAGTTCATTAATTAATAAACCTTTAAATATTAGCTTTTTAATAGCCCTATTATAAGAGCACTAGTATCAATAGTTACATATAAATGAAGAAAGCAATATAAATCAGCTTATTACTGATTATTACACTTTCCATATTTGAGCATAAATACACCAAAAAAAAAAAAAAGATAAAATAATATAGCGCAATGATCCTACTAACTGCTCTTAATTTCCTGAATTCTTAAAAAAATTACACGATTCTTTAATAGAACTTCAACTCCTTAAAAAGAATAAAAATTACGAAAATAGCAAATTTATTAGTGAAAAAAAAAGCTCAAAACCGGAGTTGTTAGGGAGAAATTATGTTGATCAATTACTAATTGCATTACCAATAATGCTTTTTCCTTGAACTACTGTACGTACTAAAATATTCAAATCATCAATGCATTTAACTTCGAGATTAGTACACATTGCTTGCCTCAACCGGAAAAGGTCATACCCTGAATTTCCTGCCTTCACGTTCAATTTAGGTGCTGGCATATTTGACAGTGTTTTCTGCTCCGATGCATCCAAAATTTTCTAGAAATGTTGGTTAAAACAGCACTTCAAACTCCCATCTCTATCTTACTAAACCTGTTTTTCTTAAAAAATAAATTCCTGTCTGGAATCAGAAGACAAAACAGACTGGAAGAATATCTATCATCTGTTAGTTATGACTTCTGAACGATTAACGTTTTCTGTAGAAACAGTGGATCTTCTTTGTTAAGTATCTATGAGTAGATTTGATAATTATATCTCAGATTTATTTATATTTAAAAATTATGAAAAATTGCTGCAGCAACTCAAAAAAATTATGAATAAAATATATTTTTGCGTTTTATTAAGTGTTAACAGCTGTTTTTTTTTAAAAAAAAAAAAAAAACCTGATAAACTCGAGGCAGTCTCTGTAAACCGTTCGAATTTGATAGCAATTGATTCCATATGGAAATGACATACTGGATAGTCTGCAAGTTCGATGGATGTTTAACTTGAAATTTTCATATTATGACTGGAAAAGAAACAAGAGAATATTCAGTTCTAGTTTCTTAATTCGCTTTCTTTAGTATTTACCTAAATTGTATCTCTCTATTTACTGAATCCAATACGTTTCACTAACCCTTTCAGAGGCATCATTATCCATCCTGTGCAGTCGAATAATCATTGCTTTGTATTCCTCATTCAAGAAATTTTCATTGTCTGCCAGAATACTATCATCCAATTCAGAACCGATATGATCAATGAGACGCTGACTTATCCTCTGCAGTACTTTTAGTAAACATACTGTACGGACTCACTACAAACATAGCAACAAGTTAACAAAACATAATCTTTAACATTTCGATGCTCTCCCCTGAAATCAATCGATAATTTAAAAATGTAACTAAGATTTGAAAGATCCAACTTACAATGACATAAATGATAAGAAGGGCATTATGTATCAAACAGAAAAACATCTTTTGATCTAGATTGGAAGACTTCACAGTCGCATACATATCAATTCTCTCCATCATTCGAATCGAAACACAGAGCAGACGCGACTGTTGTATGTCCGTAGAAAGAGTAGTGCCGCTCTGTTTGCTAGAAACATTTAACGTGACTTTCTCACGTAGTGACTTATACCATTACCTCTACACATTCAAGGTTCACAAACAAAAAACAATTATAACTCAAATGATTTTATTGAAGATAATCGAATCAAACGTGATTGACGAATGTATCCTATTCCATTTTATGGCTATTTTATTGCTTGGAAGAGTGCTTACATTGAAGAAAGATCAACTTTCTTGACGATATCGCTCATCACAGCTACCATTTGACAAAACAATTCATAAAGGATATGCGTATTCTGAAATAGAAATATAAATAGCAAATCTTTGCAAAGTCTAAAATTGAAAGAAAATAAAAAATAAATAAATGTGTAGTGACTGAATTTCAACTTTAAAAAACATTCGAAAAGCGGTAAATTTAACTTTATAAAAGCCCAAAAGAATTCAATAGATTAAATTTAATTACATGCAAGATGACTTCTGACGACGGATCATCCCCAACAAATTTCTCAACAACTTTCTCGCAAGCTGATACCACATTAGAATACTGGCTAAATTACGATCTATTAAAAGTAATTGAAAAGATCAGTAAATGAAAAACCGTCAAATAAAAACAAAAACTAAAGTAGTGCAGAAAATATATGGATCTCCTACACAAGAACAATAAACATTAAACTCAAATCAATTCATTAAATCTAAAAAGATTATTTCAATCAAAAGCATGAATAGAAGCATATACTTACGTTACATCTATATTCATCAGCATTCGTAAAACGAAAATCGATTTTGCTGAGTTATTTAATGGTATGCCGAATATTGATGCCCAGTCGATCAGAAACATTAATCTGTCAATGTAAAGCTTATCCGACATTTTCAGTGCCTTTTCGTAATGACCCACGTGGTTTGTAAGCAGCTAAAATGATAATTCAAATCAATTTTTGTTCTGCAAAGCAGCATGATGTCTAAAATAAAAGAGGAACAGCTTTGAAACAAAGAGATAAGAATGAAAAGTTATTCCAAGCGATGTGAAAAAAAAAAAAACTTGGATTGATGTCTTGCCTCTTGTATCAAGTTGAATGCACTTTCATCCCTTTCCAAAAATAGCTCGTCCATTACATTCAAAGCATTTAAGGCGCTGAAATCAAACTTTTTTGAAGGATTTAGAACAAGACCGATAAAGATTAATCGATATATTTGCTAAAATTTTAGCAAATGATCAGCAGCCATAAAACCAGACGGGGGTGAAAATATACCTCAAGAAATAACACAAACAAGAACGGCAAAGAAAAAAAAAGCCAGGAAAAGCATATAACTAGAAACATAATGAACAATTCTACTATGAACTCTGAACCAAACAAAGATACACTACTTCATTGTAGACAGTCTATTCGTCTCAAATTTGATTTATCAAAAGTAGGGGCAAGAACCTCTAACCTTTCCAACATAAACAGTCCGAAAAATCGCGCTGCATGCTCATAGTGTCGTTTGAATAGCGCGTCGAAATCAACTGGACCTTTATACGATACCATATCCAATAAATCCTGGAATTGCAAATACTTCAAAATAAATCTTTAAACAAAATAAGAAAAAATTCTGATTGAGAATCTCATTTCTTTGCAAACAACTGAAAAACGTACCCCATCCTTACATGGAGTGATAATGGTCCTATTTTCGGGTTCATACACAATAGTTGGATGGTCCGTATCCCACTTGATTATTTCTGCATCAAAGAGAGCATTATCTGTAGAAACTTCAAGTTTCAAATCATTTGGCAAGCTGTCAATCAATTGGACGATCGATTGAGCTGGCCGCTTTTGTTCTAAAAATAATAAAAATTCTGGCAAGCAATATAGAGATGTAATCACATTATACCAATTAGTACAGTGACGAATAATTATCTACTAAATCACAATACTTTGATTAGCATATCAGTTTCAGACTATGTTCATCCACATCACGATATCTGTGGTATCAAATCCTACTGGATAAAAAACTTATCGAATTTATGTCTTCCTTGAACAGAAGAACAATTTTCTAGAACAACACAACCAAAATGTAATTAATTTGATTATACTACTGGAAATCAAGAATTTTTTTCTAAAAAACCACAATCTTAGAAATGACTAATGAGCTTCTTCCAACACTCGCTACTGTAATCAACAACCCACTGTTACTGATCCAACATTTTTCAGGTGGGCAATACTTATTAAATAATAATCAAACAGGTACAAATACTTGACAAATATGTGACATCAGTTAATGCAAAAGTTCTTACCTTGTCCATAGAGCACGCCCTCACATTTCTTTCTCGTGTAAACTAAACAATATGCAGAGCAAGCTCTCCTCGAACCAAATGAATCTTCTTCAATTTGTTGCCAAGTTGCAGGCTCAACGCTTTTATCATTAAATTTACGCCACGACACTTCTTTATCTTGGACGTTACATAAAGGAGAGCTAGCTATATAGGCCCAGTAATGTCCAACATTTGCTTCACCCTCATGGACAATAACGCTATGCAAATGATACGGTTCCTGCAGCAATATGAAATACAAGTCGAAACTTTAATTCAAAATTGGGAGAAAACTTTATTTAAAATTAGTGAAGGGATAAAAATGAAATCAACTAAATGCTTTTGAATACAAATAACTGTACCTCCCTCATGCCATCGACATCAAAGATGGACTCAATATTTTCTTGCAGTGTATTCGCCTCTTTTTGCAGTTCTAAAACAAGTTTAAAATTTGGCATAAAATTTCCAACAAATAATCTAATAAACTAAAGAACCTCATAATTTAGACAGATACAGAGAATGGCACGAAAAAACTATCAACTGTTGTTCAGTTCTTCTCCCTCAGCAACTTATTTTGTCCTGGTTTTATAGAAAATTCAGAAATTTAGAAAAAAAAAAAAAAAACATTTATTCATTTATTCGCACCGTCAATTCGTTCCTGCGCATTTGCTGAAAGTGTTTGTAAGACGCTTGTCACCGTATTCATGTCAACATCTGCCGGGATTATCGTTCTATCAAGAGAAGGACATACCAACATTACATCCCCTCTTTCTAAAGATCATTATAAAAAAAAAATTAGCAATTTCTACAGGAAAATACACTTTTAGATTATATTCTCTGACCTAACTGATTTAGAACTTGGATTTAAAATGATTGAAACAGAATACATGCTTAGTTTTATTTCACGTCAGAAGCGGATAAAATCCTTTGTTACGAACAAAAATAACAGAAAAAAAAAGGAGACCATACCTACATGAGGACTCGAAGAATCAGATACAATTGAAAATGACGGAGTTTCATCACAAACTTCCATCGGCTGCTGTCTGCAAGTATCACAATTATCAGAGATATTTCTAAAAAATGTAACAGTGCATAGGGCCTCACGGTCTTCAGCTTAGCATTCTATATTTAGGAGGGAGAGGGAGATGTGTATCAATAAATTATGTTCAAAAAGAGACTTTAAGACTGGAAATACTTCAATTTAAAACTAATCTTCAACATAAATTATGTTTGATGAAAGCCAGCAAATATGAAATTAACAGTGGAAAATTCCTTGTGAGCAGAAAATCAAGCAAACCAAATTTTAACGCGAACATAATTCAATTTTAAACGAAAAGAACTAACGCATTTGTCGCTGACGATGCGTATTTGACAACAGCGTCTATAAGAGATGGAAGCGGTATTTTTGTGTCGCCGGCTGGAAACTTCTCCCATCTGCAAATTATGGCAGTGATAACCTTCTTAAAACTTTTACAACTAATGGATTTTAAAATTAACTGAAAATCAAAAGATCAAGAAAAATAGCTATATTCTTCGAAGATTTACGCTCAACCCTTTTCCATTCACAAATGAAGTAGCTATACTGATGGCATTTTGAAGAACTTTGGAAGTTAGCAAGAACCTAAAAGATATGATTTGTATGGAAAAACATAGAACAACCACGATAACGTTAATAAGGCTAACAAACCCTTCTAATTCACACATCACATGTGCAAGCCGTTTCTTCAAAGATTTCCGCTCAATTCGTTTTTCACTCACAAATGTACGATTTCGATATAAATAACGATCCATGTATATAACGCGAGGAAATTGAAATTGACTATGAACTTTTTCCGTTTGGCCATTTTTATAACTAAACCGAACCAGCGAAAAGATAACTACAGACGGCAAAGACTCAAACCATAGCTGAAAAAAAAAAAATTTTTTTTTGTACCAAAATTATTTTTTTGTACCAAAATTATGAAAAATACTAAGAAGAGAAAGCAGGAACCTCTTTCGCTGGTGCATCAGACAGGTGATAAGCTTCTAATGAATCATATAAGTTGTCATAACTAACATCCAAATTGATCATCTGGAGTGAGTTCGCCAACTTTAGAGGTGATGAAACTCCGATTGTGATTTCTTAAATATATTAGCAAAACAAATATCTTTAAAAACGTAAAATGAACATAATTCATTAGACAGGTAAAAGCAAGTGAACGAATAGATGTATTATACCAATATCAAACAACAAGCCCATTTAGCTGCTCTATACAAACTTTTACAAACATTCTTAAAGCGATACCAGCATTAGGCCGAATTTCAACATGTGAACCATGAAAAAGTGCATCAAACGGATGTTCCGGAGTGAGATTAGAATTGAGATCATCACTGCCTAATTTATCAAAATGCGCCTCACCACCTGGTGTTAATGTTTGCTCCGCGCTAGAAGCATTTGGCACCATATTTTCGTCCTGAATAGAAAATTAAAATATTTAGTCACAGTCAATTCTAATACATTAACTATGACCAAACTGTAAAAGACAGCAGCACTGTTGAGCATACATTAGTATCCATAATTTCTCCACATGAAATGCTGGAAGATGATGGATGGGGAGATTGCAACTGCACTTCTGATATTGATTCAACTCTGAAGGCTACCTCAAGCCACTCGATCAGTCGCAAAAGCATTTCAGTAGCGTCCTAAAGTTTTCTTTATTGTTACTTGTAAAGAGAAAATTTCAGTGAAGTAGTAGTTAAGCGTATATTACAATTTGAATCAAATATCTTTAAAACAAACCTGCTGAATGCCTATGCAAGGAGCAGCTTTATTCAGACTCATATTCAACTCGCTAATTATCTTTAATACATTTGTTGGATCAACATATGCGCGTGAAGATGCTTCAAGACAGGCAGCAAGCTGACGAAGAGATATTAAAAGTGAGGTTGTTAACGCATCCGTATTAGTCTATAACAGTCATGCGAACTTAAAAATCAAACAAAATTGATCATTAATCTAGCATTTATACGCTACTTCGTCTCGTTAACGGAGGCAATAAAAAGAACCAAGTCGTACAAAATATCGCACTGAATTAATTCAAAAAAAAGTGGCAGATATAATTCGAAAAACAAAAGTAGATAACGTCCTAGTAATGAAGAGAGTTATATGAGGACACGGTCCAACCTAATTTTTATAGCTGGGAAATAAAGCAAATGAATGCTGAATTTTATATATGTGAGAAAAATACAGCGATGAAGAATTCAGCTGCATAATTTTTAAGAGGTTTTACCGAGCTCAAGAGTGAAAAAAGAGAAACCTCATTGGGTTGGCCTGACTCATTTCCCCAAGAATTTGATTTACCGGTGATATATTTCGTTCTATTATTGACTGGTGTATCGAACAATATTTGTCGGAAACGTGGAATATGGAACAGCGTCTGAAAAAATCATAGAAAGTATAAACAAATGAAATTAGACACATCCATAAATAAAATGCCGCACCCGGGCACTTGATAATTTTAATTTTAGTATAATTATACATAACACGGTTAATGACGAAGGTTTTCACTTTGTTTCACTTTGGATAACAGGAACACCCTTAAATGTGTCATATAGATGAGGACTTACTTGCACAATAACGTTAAACCAACAACTGTTGCCTATATTTTTTAATCCCACAGGTGCTAAACCACACCGTCGCCTTTCATAAGGATTTTCCGGATCTCTTTGAGCAAAAGGTGAGAAACCAGGAATGTTTTGATTGTCTTTCAAGGACTCTTCAATAGCTCTGAAAATTTTAAATTGTCATAAATTCCATTTCTCTACTAAAAAGGATAGATTTAGTTACTGAACCGAAGACATTATCTGCTATGCCCAACCGTCATAACAATATAATTTATATACGCTGATCATCAGATCATGATGTCCAGCGCTACGTTAGCCGCAAAGATAATGCTTTTTTTTTTCATAAATATCGATGTACTACAACCAGAAGAAATATAGTCTAAGGCATTTCACAGAAATATGACGAGACATACTTAATAACATCCTGTTCTTCCCGATTTCCTAGCACACTTCGTGGTACGTTTCCCCATTTTTGAACACCCTTATCCTCATCAGACGTTAGATCGATTACTTTTGGTTCTTCCATCGTTGTACCACGGGTATTAAAAGCATATGGACGGCTAACTGATGGAGCTGGAGAAGGAACATCCAAATGCTAAAAAATTGCAAACATTCTACATGTAAAAATATGCTTTTTTAAGATTTGAAAAGTACAAATGCATGATGCAACTTTTCATTAAACAGATATATTAAGATAAATCTTGAGGCTCTCCTCTGAAATGTTTTTATAAGCATTAAACCTAACATCCCCAGCTTTTGACACAAACATCACTATAAACAATTTGAAATACTCAAATGCATGACGCAAAATAAAAGCGAAACTAGGTTTTAGATAGGGAAAATAAAACTTTAAACACTAATGTAACCTCATCGAATCGGACTTGCTTATTTGGCTTTTCGACCGATTCCATTCGATCGAAATAAAGACTAATGACATCGTTCAAAACGTTATTACCACTTAAATGCGATTGAGTATGAGATCCATGACTCTAAAGCACATATACTGAACTGTCAAATACGTTAAGGACGACGAATTTAAAAGAACAAAACAATTTGCATAAACGTATTACCAGCTCACTCACCCAATAATTAAACTGTTTTTTTGCTCATTGATATATTTGAAAAAAAGGCATCACGCTGTACGCTACATATTTACCATATGATTGAATCCACTGGTTGCAAATGCAACACAATGATAGCTCATCGCTGATAAATGAATTATAGTCAAATAACTTCATTTCGATACTAACCTTAATCGCCTGCACAAGCATTTGTTCATTGACGCTGCTGCCTAAGAAATTTTTCACTTCATTGAAGAAACCCAATTCTTCCGCTGTCAACGCATTCTGCTGAAAGTGTTTCCAATCACAGAAACAGAAGAATAAAAAGTCTTTTAATTGACAGTAATCAACTCTCAGTATTGAACAAGTTACAATTTCATCTCATCTACTTATTCCAGCTATTTTGAATGGAATGTATCTTCGTTTTTTATGCAACAACAAACTAACGTGAAGGGATCTCGACAATCGCTCTGGTTCTTCCCCTTCGATCGGGCCAGGGCCCTTTCCTCCCACTATTGAGAGTATCGTCATAACTTACCGAGATCTGCAAAAACACTCATTAGAAACATCTCTCCTCTCCTATCCTTTTGTAGTTCACAGCTTCTGCCTTAATTCTCTTCCAGTTTTTCTTTTTTTTTTTTTTTTTTTCAGAACAAACTATTCATCATTATATTTCTAATGAATAATCACAAATTCCAATGAATAATCAAAAATTCCATTTTGGAATTGTGCCAAAATGCTTTCCATTTTTCCGCAAGTTAAGGAAGTTGTAAAATATCCCACAAATCCCAAAGCAAATTTGCGAGAATATTCTTAGATATTAGCGGACGTAATAAATGAATTACTGCGGATTGTGAGTAAGCATATTCAGATCCGAATTCTAATTAAAATTAGAATAGCTCAGAACAAGATGAAATACATTTCCTCAGATCAGATGCATTACCAGTGCTGGGGAAACCCAGAACCGTACACAAACATACACACAAATACTGATAAGTAATTCACTCTGACCCAAACAATGCAAATTCATTTCCTCATTTCCCGTCTTTCAACCAGCTGAAAAGTCTACAGAATGAAAATTTTCGTTGTAAAACCTCACGTATACAACATACAGCCAGCTGTCACTGATCACAATTTTAGTTTCAGTATAAATGAAAAGTGAAATGGTGTGGTACAATGGGTCAACATGTTGTAGATACGATAGCAACTTGCGCACATTTTAACCGATGCTTAAGACACTTGATACTATCTCTGACATAGCTCGTGCCTAATTTAGATAACTTTATTATATGTCTCGATGACTTCAGAACTAGTGGTCATTTCCGCCCTACAGAAGCTATACAAAAAAACTCTATTGAGGACAGATCAGTGGTAGTTTGCAAATTCGTTGAGCAACTCACTTAATGAACTTTTTATCTCAGTCATCCATCTACAAATTTCATGACTTTATTATGCGCCAATTGCGATATTCCTTTCCACTAGTACCTATTAGACATCTAACCTAAGATTAGGCCTTGCACAACTTGTTAATTATTTCGTATTTCGTGACTTTCATTAATTATTTTTTATTTCATATTTCATGACTTGAACCGATAATTTATTTCATATTATTGACCGTAAATACCTTTCAATTCTCTCTTTCACTTATCGTTATTATTCACACCTTCATTTGCTTTACTGTAGGACAATAAGTACAGCGAACTGACAGTGCTATTTTGAACCTGAAAGGTAACGAATCATGCTGCACGTTGCCGAGACTTCCCGAGGACTATACCCCACCTCAACCTTCCTCCAGCTGGCTCTTATCGAAATGCATCAAGCGCTTATCGCACAGAGCGTATGGTCCGAAGTTTATATTAGAGTCGCAACACAATCAGAGAGAGAGAGAGAGAGAGAGAGAGAGAGAGAGAGAGGTGTGGATTCGGTGGTCAGATTGTGTTGTCATGTGGATTGGACAGGGCTGGGGTCACGTCTGGTCAGGTCATTGGGTGTTGGTTGTATGGAGTGAGCGGTGCAGTATTTCTTGCTCTTTTCTGACTTTTTCACACTAATTTTTTCTATAGCCGTATTTTTCCAGATGTTTTTTTTCTGCGTCCCTCCCGCAGTTTCGCGGTGTTACGCATTGCATTCTACTCCCCACTGCATGACCTCGCCACGTGACGGAACTGCAAAGATACGTGTATTATAAATCTGAGTATAGTTCATAAGATTTATGATACCGTTAGGCGCGTAATTTAAACACGGGTAATTTTTATGCTTTGAATGTTATTATTACTGTATGTGAGTGAAGCGTTGTTAGACATTGACAACGATAACGTTGCACATTTAGCTGTCGCTGGTTTTGTTGCCATTGTCATCTATGAGTGTTAAATGTGTGTTTTTTTTTTTTTTCTGATTTGTTACTTTTTCATTTTTTTTTTTTTTTTGTTATTAAAAAATTTCAGTTTTTGCAAGATTTTTTCTTATTTTCAGTTTTTTTTTTTTTTACAAAAAGTTTTCTTTTTTTTACGTCCCACAGTTTTTGTAATCGAAATTTGGAGCAATTTGAATTATATGAAAGACAACAATTACGAATATAAAATAATGAGCCGCAAGATGAACATTTTAAGGAGCTACATTTTGGTGTCTTTTGAACATTCGCGAGATTCTGTAATATATCTATTGTATTTGTAACGTATCTCTTCTGTAATATATTTATATTGATCCTGTAACTATCCCACAAAGGTGAGGCATGGTGTAAAAAATAAAATGAATATGTTTCTGCTATTATTTCATTTCTGTATGGAGTTGATCGAAAAAGCAAGTTTTTTTCAATTAATTTCTAGAGAATTTCCAAAGTTATTCTTACCACTGCTTCCCTTTTATTGTCAGTAAAAAGTAATTCTTTCTTTATTCTTTAACGATTGTTGAATATGGAGTATTTCCGTATTCACTTTGTTATGTGTTTTCGCTTGAATATTTCTGTATTTTTTAAAGATTTATTTAAGAAGTTGTATGGACTTACAAAAATCTTTCATGCTATCATTAGTATTTTGCTCTTTCAATTTCGATTTTTATATTGTTATAATTTTTTGAGACTCCTTTCTGAAACTAACAAATTGTTTTAGTAGTGATTGTTAGTTTTGCGGCAACCATTTTTTTTTTCTTAAATTTAGGATTATATATTGTGTTTAGGATTATAATGTAGTCCTAATATTTCTTAAATTTATAGGATTATATACTGTAGAATTCCTTCAACTTTTTTCTGAAATTTCACTTATGCATTACAAAATTTTTTCATATTTTTTTGAAAACTATTTTAAATGTCTTCTTTGAAGTTTTTAAAAGAGTAAACACAAAAATCGCCCATGTGTTAGACGCTGCCACATTTCATAAGTGATAAGGTTGATCTGCAGCTATTTTTTGAAACAATTTACAAAAAGGAACTTGCGTGTTAAGTCAAGCCATTTTATTTCCGATGTTTATTTTAGTGTTAATAACATTAGCACATACGGCTCTTCACTTCATTTATTTTAAATTTTGGTTGAAAATGAAACTGCCGAAATTTGATAGTTCATTAGAATTTATGCATCTGTTGGTTTAGCTAAGCTCTCCTCAGTTGTCACTTTAATCTTCGCTAGTTGCTCGTATTTTAGCTAATAATGTCCTCATCTGGTGCTTTTCTTATGCCTTATGTTCATCGTTTTGGTTGCTGATTGCATTATCCATTGCGCTGAAAATTGGAAATATTCTACTTTTCAGGGGATATCTGTGATCCATGGAAGAATCCAATGGTGGGTCAAGAGTGGACGCACTGAAAATGAATCACCCAGTAAGTATAGATGCTCAAGTGCAAACCGATGATGGATTGCATCGTGAAGGAAAATCTTATCGCGGGCGTGGACGAGGACATTGGAGAGGTGGTGGTCGTGGTGGTCGAGGATTTAAACGGAGAACACGTGGTGGTAAGCTTATTTTCATTTTTTTTTTTCAAATTTTTAGCTAAGTAAGCCTAATTTGTATATTTTACTGTGAAATATGCCTTACGAAGCTAAGGACAAATCTTGATGCTACAAATGATAACGAAGAATTCATTTTATTTATGCCATCTTTAATTGTCACCTATATGCTTCAGGTATCACAATTACTTCAACTTGCTTTTCTATTCTTGCAAACATTTTTTTTTAAATCAAGTTGATGCGGATTTAAACGATCTTTTTTTCGAAGATGGTGGACCGTGGAACAAGCGACGGCGGTTTGGTTATACAGGTACCGTTGATGATTTCCCGTTTCTTCATGGTGGCAATAGCAAGGATCCGTTAAATCTGAAGTCGGTGAAACCAGTCGATGAAACAGAAAATATGAAACCAATCGATATCATCATACCGAAGAATATTCATGACCCGTTAAATCTACGAAATGTCAACAAAAATCGTGCTAGGAGGTTTTTTTTTTAGGTGTTCTAAATCAGATTTTTTTGGCTTATGTGTAACAATATGAATCGGAATATTTAATTCAAATATTTATATTTTTATTTAATTCAAAAAGTGAATATCGATTATGCAGCATTCAAATAACTTACTGAAGTGCAGATATTATTAGTTGAAATAGTATAACCTTTAAGACATATTTTATATTGAAATACTTCATCAAATATATCAAGTGCTATCATTGTTGTTTGAATCTTTACAAAAAATTCTTAGATTCCAGGCAAGAAACATTTCTTCCAGAATCCAGTTTTTGGCAAGACTTTGTTTCAGAAAAAGACGCAATAGCAAACTGACAGAAAAAGAAGAAGCTGAAGGTAGTAGCGAAAGCTCATCTAAACGGCGGGGAAGCATTGCTAGCGGGGTGAACGAAAAGAGACAAGAAGATCCGATTGTATCACCTATACCTCTTTCAGTCGTGGTAGTGTTTAGTTCTGCCAACAAGCTATATTAAAATTTCTCATTTAGAATAGTTGAAGAACTGTTTGTTTGCTTCAAAAAATATATTGTGATTTTCATCCTAATTCTCTTTTTTACTGTTCTCGCACAGTTTTATTATTAAGATTCTTAAATGTTTATAAAAGCGTTTGTTGAAGAGGAAGTTTTGCGGAAATTCATCCAGAAAGCTGTCGCATCAAAAAATCGAAAAAAAAGGACGAAAAATGCAGGATAGCACTGAAAAACTGCAACCGTCATTTGGAACGGTGCCAGGAGCGAGTCACTCACAAGCAATTGAAATATGCAAAGTAGAAGATGAGAAAATTGCAGATGAGAAAAAGAAAAAAGTAGAGAAAAAAGCGAGAGATAATCAAAGGTTCGCTGTTTATACTAGTTTCCAAATTTCGAGGTAATAAAAAAAAAGGTTTGAAAATTTTTTCAAGAGTATTCGTTGCCCTTTCTAGGTCACTGATTAATGGCTTTTTATTCCGTAATAATGTTTGATACTTTAATGCTGTTAATGCTTTCCTTGTATACTTTTTCTTTTTGTGTCCTAGGATTTAAATTATGGTTCCGATCTTCGAGATTTTCTTAAAAATTAGTTCCAACAGCATGGAAGAATTATATGAAGATTTAAACATATATCTCATATTTCTCCAATCAAGGATTTTAATCAATTTTAATTGAAGAGTTAATACTATGTGGACATAGTGAGAATGAAAGTTTATCAGGAAAATCAACTTAGCAGAATTATTCCTTTTTCATTTGTTTATGCTTTATGATATGTAAATAAATAAGGGTCCTTTTGCAGATTTCGATATGGTAATTATACTCGGTATTACGGAAGTCGTCTTGAAAAAGGTAGCGGCCATGATCCGCGGATGAAGGTGTTGAAGAAAGAATGGTTCGAGAAAAAATCAGTTTTAGATATCGGTTGTAATGTTGGCTATTTGACTCTCTCCATTGCCAAGGAGTATCAACCGAGGAACATTGTTGGCATTGATATCGACGCTCATTTAGTTGGCGTGGCCCGAAAGAACATACGGCACTATTGTGACAACGATGTACCTGTATGCATTTAAAATTCCAATATTTTTCGAAATTTTTTTTCTAACTAAATTTTGACGTCAAATACCTAGCCAGGAGTAGTTAAGTATACCCATGGTACTTCGCTTTTCATCTCATTATTTCGAAATAAAGTTAATTGCCATAGGCGATTCATGTCTGATCGGTTTTTGGAATACTTATTGTATTGTATATAAAGATGGAATTTTGAAAGCCGTATCACTTCATTTAGAATTGATCGTTATTAATCTAGATTGTTGCTGGTTTCCCAGCATCATTTGCTCAACGCTATGGGCCAGTTTCCGCACCGCTTACAACTTTTTCAACTAAATTCCCCGATAACATATGGTTTCGTTGTGAAAATTATGTACTGGAAAAGGATGAATTGTTAGATGCGGTGTGTGATTTTCTTTTGTCAGTATGTAAAAGTTACTGTTGAGTACATAGTTTCAAAAACTTCAAAAATTTTTAGAACTTAAATTGGTCAAGAAAACTTATTTATTGATACCGTTGACTCTGATAAATATCAGTTTGTTATCAGTAGATGCGCTTTACAGTATTTTCACTTCGTTCCATCATTATTTCGTGTTTTTGATTGTTTAAATAGTTGTTAAATTTTAAAATATTTTGAGGTCAAAGAAGAATACGATGTTATCATGGCGTTAAGTATCACGAAATGGATTCATTTGAACTGGGGAGATGCTGGAATCAAGCGTTTTTTCAAACGTGTTTATCGACACCTTCGTCCTGGTGGTCTATTTATCTTGGAACCACAAAGTTTTGAAACCTATAAGAAACGATCAAAACTGACGGCAAGTAGTTTGTCCATTGCATACGCTGATGAAATAGTTAACTTATGCCTTTCAAGTAAAAAGCTTTAAAAGTATGTTATACAGCAACTTAATCTCTTGAGCTTTAGAAAGACATCAGTGACATGTACAAAGCGATTGAATTTATGCCAAATGCATTCCAAGAATATTTAATTGTCGATATTGGTTTTGATATCTGTCAACATATCGATCCTCCTAAAGCACATACAAAAGGTATTTTTCGGGCTTTTCTGTTTACTGATTGTCATTCTAATTTATGTTGTTCACTTAGGGTTAAGTGACAATTTGAGGAGATAAGTGTCATATCTCATTTCAGTAAGCTGTTTCAAGGTTGAGCTTCAATTTGCAGTTCTTTTGAACTTTTATTCAAAATGTACAAATGGATTTCAGGTTTCGAGCGACCGATCCAGGTATACTGCAAGCGGGTGTCTCATTCTTTTACCAAAGCAAGTTGTTATGATCACGACAGTCTTCCGAAAACTTGTGCCGCAGATTCATTTTCACTGTGTAATGTTACTTCTGAAGTCGTAACAAAAACTTCGATTGCAATGGAGTCACACGTAGGTAAGAGAACTATCATGTTGCACCTTGCTGATCCTTGGTACTGGTTTTTTTTTTGTCGAATATTTTGAGTTATACGAGCAGCAAAGATTCTTCACAAATTTAGAGGCATATTTCTGAAAAGGACCTTGAAGTTATTTTCAGGATAAATGAACGTTTGCAATAAGAAAAGTTCATGATAGAGTTTCTGTGGAAGAAAGAATGAAACAAAAAAGTCTGGTGTGTAGGTTCCAGTATGTTTCAAATTTAGGTTCATTTTTGTGCCGCCATTTATTGTTAAGCTTTTCTTTTTTCTATGTTTTCCTCCTAATTTTTTATAACATTTCCGGAATGTTTTGTTTCCAATATTTTGTTATATTTTATGAGGTTTCAGAAAGCGCGTAAATATGCATGTTCTTTTATCCTCATAAAAGAAAAATCCTAAGCAAATATTGTGAGTAATTCTGTTCTTATTCCATTTTTCTTAGAAAATATCTTGTGGACTGTCGCTTTAGTTGAAAAAGAATGTGAAATATATGGTTAATACTAATACGTTTTGTGTAGAATTATCCTCAGAGATAGTATCAAATTTGCTTTCAATCAGCTTACTGGTGTTCATTAATACGGTAAATCTGTTTGCATTGCTTTTTTTTTTTTTTTTTTTGTTTTTCATACATTCTTCTTAAATCTCATTGTGATTTTTCTCATCTTACTATTTTTTTTTTCGTTAATTTAAGAATTTGACTTCGTTTGTTGAATAAAAAAATTATTAAACTAATTGATGTGTGAATAATACAGCGAGCATTAATGAAATCTGATTAATGACAGTAAGCATTTTTGGCAATGCAGTGTACCTGAATTGAGTTCTGTGTAAAGACGAGAGTCCATCCAACTTTGTATATGCCAGGATTCATTGATCTATACTATTATACGCTATTATTTACATTGTTTTATGTATGAAAACTTATGAAATTCACTGGTCTGATCAGAAAGTTTATTGGATTTATTTTCTGAATGATTGTTGTAGTGAAAATTTCTTGTTTAAATAATCTTTTTGATTTAGATTTGCATAAATGAAGTATTAGTTGAAAAAATATTTATTATTAGTTGAAGAAATATTATGTAATAGATGATAGGATAACAGAGATATCAGAATGAAGTTGATCACCAGATTATTGTTTAGTTCATAGGAAAATTGAGATTTGGCTGGGTAATCATTGGAAGCGAAATGTTTTAAATCCAGAGATAGTAGAAGAATTTTATTCTTATTGTGTGAGCTGATACGTGCTTATATCATGAGATTTTTTGCAATATTTTTACAATTGCAATTAAGAATGCAGTAACAGACAGATTATATTGATGAAGGATGTTTTCTAGGATATTACAGTAACTTGGTGATATTTTTTCAAGCCACTACATATCAGATATCACAACAAACCTTATCATTAGATTTGAAGATTTTCAAAACATCATACGACATGATGATTAAAAGACTTATTACTTTAAACATAATTTATTATTTCTTATTGAATATCTACATTAAAATACATGCTAGCAAATTTAATCAAAATTTATTCTCTAAGACCACTTTTAATGATCTTGATTGATCATGTTGTTTTTAAAAAAGTTTTATTGCATTTTAACTGTTTAATCCTTCCTAACCGTAGTGCCTTTAGTTTGATTCAAAAGCGGATCATCTGAAGAGGATTCTTGTTTCTAAAGCTTGAACTGTGTTTTCTTAAACGGTTAATTCCAAATGACGTCTCATAACTATTCGAGATTTTCTAGAATTGATTTTTATGTTTGTACTGCCTGGATAAAAATATGTTGTCATGACTATACCAGTGTATATTGTGTAATTTCTTTTTGTATTGGAAAATGGATTAAGTATATTTCCTTTACACCACAGAGCTGTAATTTGGGATGTACATTCGTTCGTGATCAATACTGGGTTGAATATTTTTAGTTTGTGTAGTGTTGCTGGAATAACTTTTCTTTAATTTTGAATACATTCAATTGGTTGCTAAGATAAAGCTCATCTTTTGGTGTTTAATGAAGGAAAAAGCCAAAAAATATTGATTTAGAATTTTTCTATTTCAACACAAAAACCAATGTTACGCGAAATTTTCTGAATGAAGTCGTTAATTTATTGCCATTTTCTATTTTTCTCATTTTCAGAAATGGAATGGCCAAAGTTCGATTTTCCTAAGTGTTCGCATATCCAGTCATCGCGATTGTCAAATGTTGGGAGATCGAGTTGGGGTTTGAAAAGAAGTCGTTTTAAAATTTGTCGTTCTTTGACGGTCGATTTTGAAAATATCAAATGTAAGAAGAAAGAAAATTCAACGAAAGGATACACTGTACAAAACGAAAGTTTTATAACTCTCCATCAGCAAATGTTGCCGAATAGCAATCCACCAAGCTGCTCACGAAGAGATCTTTCCCAAATAAATGCAAAAGGAATACCACCATTATCTCCAATCCTCGTTAATGGATTTTTGAAGAATCCAACAGCTTATTCGCCTACACCTTTGAGAGATTCAAATTCAAATATAGGAACAATGTTAATATCGTCAAAGCGCATAGATTTGGTGAATCCAGTAGTAACCAGCAATTCACATTGCGAGACTCCCATAATTCTTGAGTCTTCAGAACCTGCATTTACTCTGCCATGTGCGAAACAATTACTTTTATCAGATGGAAGTTTAACTTCTTCACTGCAGAAGTTAGAGGTAATACCACGAAATCCAACTTTTACTAGCCAGTCTAAATCACGCACTTCTTTTGTTGCTGTTATGAAAGAATCCGATAGTTTAAATTGGAAGTGTAAAAAAAGTGGTAAGGAAGCAAATTACAGCCCTAAATTGCATACATTTCCATCGATAACATCTTCAACAAATCTCCACTGTTCAGGTAGTTCTCCAATGTCTCTGGAAACTCTTCCAACATCTGAAATTGATTACAAAAAATTGAACGAGAACAAGAACTTTTCGAACTTCGATTTTTTAGATTCTCAATTAAGCTTGGAATCTGACAAATCCCTCACGCTACGACACACACGAAGTGATGACGATGTTTTCCAAAATCATACTGTATCTGTTGACGATTCCGGAAGTGGTGTTTCTACAAGCGAGCAATCACGTGACTGCTTTTTTGATGTAACAATTCATGAAATCGAACCAAATGATTCGGATCATGAGACAAAACTTATTGCAGAAGACACATCACCAATAACAAATCAGTTAAAATTATATGATTTCCAAGGCGGGAATAGTGAGGCGATACATCAAAAGCAGTATCAACGTTTGAGTAAGCTAGCAGAAACTCTCAAAAAGCGATTGTTTATTGCTTCATCAGATTTAGTTATGTGGAAATGTGAGGAACCAAACCAACATCCGGTTAGACGTGTTACAGTAATTTCAGGTGTAGAACAATGGGGATTCTGCTGGACGCTAGTCAAGAATGCTAATGATTCCGAAATTTCCCATATTGTAGATTCGAAACCAATGAAAAAAAGTGCTGATATGCTGTATAGAAACAGAATTCAGGAAGATACAAGTGCTGATGATAATCAAGAAGATCGAAGATATCATGATTCACTGCAGCGAACTTCACGGGAAACTTTTTCAATTTATCAACCTCTTTCAAAATTGAATACTTCTTTGGGTGAATTTATTCTATCACCTCGTTATTACCGCTGAATTTGTTTAATAAAGAGAAAAGTTATTGAGAGTGATGTCTAGATTAATTTAAAAAGTCAGTAAAAATTGGAGGATATTTGTACCAATTTGTTGGAACAGTGAAACTTTTTTTGAATGGAATTTATGTTTGATAAGGACAATATGAGTGTATTTGTATTTGAAAGTAAGCTACGCATCAATCTTGAGCTTTGTATGGTGGAGTTTTTCTAAGTGTTTAAAAAATCCATTATGTTAGTGTTTGAAGTCTTTCATTTTGTGCAACTGACATTTGCATTTCTTAGATCTATTCCGAGTGATTGAATTTGCAGGAAATAGCAATATCAGAATATATAAGATAAAGCTGATTGTTTCCATTATTAAAAAATTTCATTTACTTCTATCACTGCAAAAAATTCAGGAAAGATTATGTGAGTGTATTCATATATCTTTGCTTTTAAAAGAATTATACGCTCTGTTTATGTATTTAAGCATTCATTTATCATTGCTACATTGATTGTTTTGGTTCATCTTTATTCAGCATTTTAACTCATTGTGTCTTATCATGTGTGTTTTCAATTGAAGGACTTGTATTTATGCAGAGCTTTTCAGCTTATGTACTAAAATGAAGCTTATAAAAATTTTCGATATACTATTAGAAGAAGGAAAAAATTAGTGGATTTCTTAAATTCATAAAAGTACATTTAACAAATTGTCATGTTGTAATATGATAGGAAGCTAGGCATTTGAGTGTCGTTCGTTCTTCAATTCATCTGTACAATATGTATTATTGTTATATATAAAGAAATTCGTACTTAGAAGGCTCATAAGCACCGTCCTCACTTAAATCCTAATGAAACATATGGATGGATTTAAGAAACAAATGCTTATTAGATTCACTCTTAAATTTGGTCTGCTGAGAGTAATGGAACGAAACATATGGTCTTCTTAGTTACTTTTCGATGGCTATCGCAATTATTATTAAGGATGAATGATATTAAGGTGCCAATAATTAAGTTTATGCAAAATTTGCATAAAGTTAATAGCAAAGAAGACATAAATACTTCTTAATTGCAAAGTTTGTTCATTTTACAACAATTTGGCTTCTGGGAGAATTAATTTGCTCATTGAGGAAATTTCAGAAGCTCGCATATAAGATGTAAAAATAGTTTGTGAACAAATTTGCTACCTAACATTTCGCTTCCATTAACAATTCACTTTTTGGATAATTTTATTTAGTGTTATTGTAAAGCTTCACTGAGACTTGAACTTCGAATCATATTCAAATTATTTTACACTCTTTTACTAGATAGTACGCAAAGAAAGATAGCTATGGTAAAATCATCTTATTTTGGTTTGGGTATCATCGATTGTGCTTATTCGGTGGTAGTTCGCACAAGCAACAAAGAAAACGCTGGGACTACAGCGAATATATTTGTACAAGTGTGTATCTTCATTTTTCCGAATTATAAGTGTAAATTTAAAAATTTAAGTTTTTGCTTGAAAGAAGAAAAAAGTGTGCTTAGAAAAATAATTTAACAATTTAACAAATTTAAGTTTTTATGATACCGACTTTGTAAGGGGAACATGCTGTACCATCAACTGGAACCAAATACTTTGTAGTTAACAGATATCGAAGGCATACAGACAGATAAAGTACGTCTTAAATGTTCAATTAGTCATCGAAAGAAATTTCAGCGCGGCCATGTAAGTCAAATTTTATTATAAGATGAAAGAAAAAAAAAAAAAAAAATGGAAAGAGGGGGATTTGAACCTCTGCTATTACCGTAATGGCTATTGAGGCATGTTTGATGTCACCCAAGAAATTCCCTGCTTCTAAAATTTTTTTAAATGTATATAATCTGTAAATAGCTCCTTTATTCCTCTATTTTGTTTCAGTCAGATCTATTTTTGCTAATTGAACAAAACCCATTATCAGAGCTCAAATCACTAGAAGTATGGCATGAAAAAAAGGGTGACTGCAAGCCTTGGTTACTGCATTCTGTATATATTATCGAACATATGCATCATATACTATATCAATTTCCATGTCACAAATGGCTTGGTGACGATCCTGATGACTTGGTTATACTTTCATTTGTAAAGAAAATTATATTACCTAGCATAAAAACAAAAAGGATTGATTTTATAAAGACTTCACAGCAGTAATCAATATTATGTTTTTTAAAATTGTTAAAAAGCACATACTAATAACACAAATTAGTTCTATATGGCCTTGCATCTTGCTATAAATTAATGCTATCAAGAATAAATAATAACCGCAGTTGCAACGTAATTGTAATTTTAACACAGAAAGATTCATTTATAGATTTCAAGTGTAAAGCTAAACGCTTCCGGACAACCGTTTAAAGTTTTGCAAGAAGGTGAACTATAATCAGATCCGCTTGCGATCTTGTCAATAAATTCTTTTGCAAATGGTATAAATTCCTGTATATGATGATACAGCAATTTTACATCTCAATCATATTCTATCATTTTCTTCGCTTGCAAATTATTTCTGTGCAGTTCTTTGTCACCTGTCTAAAATTTCATCATGAAATATCAAAGCTTTAGTATTTCATGATGAACGGGAGATAAAACAATGGGGTATAAATATGGAATGATGTAACCTGTCTGCATTCTCCATAAACAAATACTATTCTATTGCAGGAAAACCCATATAACAACTTGTTACCACAGCTCCCATTGAGGTATCCAACATTAATAATGAAAATGTATTATTAATAAAATGCCACCACCAAGCAGATAAGAAATGATTGACATATATGAAAAATATGCAATATAAAACTGCAAGGCCCACATGTATCTTTTAAATAAACAATTGGAGGATTGAGGGATTAATCTGCATCACAGAAACTCAATGAGTAAGAGGGTGACCCCGTCAGTTTCTTATCATTTGTCAAAAATGTTGTAATGTCAGTAAATAATAAGTGAAGAACCGAACAATGCTATATCCTAATCCGAAGAGTCGGAAGATTGCATGTTTGCATACTGCATGCCACATTGCGTGCTCTTGCGCAACTATCGTGAATAATTGATGAATTCAGGCGGCACTCTCACATTTACTTAAATAACCTTCCATAAAAATCTCGAAAAACAAAACAAATGAAGCGGAAAGATTCGAGAAATTCGATGTTTGAATCATGCACTCAAATTATTTTCTCTTGATGCACTGATATCAACCGAGGTCGTCCTTTTCAAACTACTTCCATGAAATGGTATCCCAGCCAAAATCAAGACATCAATGCAAGCTCTTTCAGGAAAAGCAGTGATTTGACAAGATAAGGTATATAAAGATAACTACGTCATTCTCGACAATATCAAAACCTCATGCACTTTCACATCTAGGATATTAGCTTATTGCTTTCGAGAGGTCACAGAGTCACAAACTCCCGGAGTTGGTTAATCTAAGTTACGTTATCATTGTCAACACTTATCTGCTAGCTAACATTCATCCTTCTTGTTTGTCCACTCAACTCTGAATAGCTTAAGTGATATCCATTCTCGTACATTCTGCCTTATACACCTTCCGAGTTACTTCAAAAAATATTTAAATTTTTTGCAGGATAACATTTCTTACAAAAATTATAACAATGCTATTATTAAACCGGAAATTTACAAACACCACCTACCGGTAACCCTCTTGCAGGATATCGAAAAGTAAATCAGGAAATCAGCCGAAACGCAACTGTTCATCATGGTATTTTATCTTTGGCCGACATACTATCCATCGTATTTTCTCGTTCGTTGTTTTTCTTCAAATGTAAATGAAAGTAACGGTTTCATAAGGTAGGCTGATTTCCCGGTATTTCGAGGAGAATGGAAAGAGCTGGGATCTCAGAGCTGTATTGCAAAAAAGCACCGCGAATAATCTCCAGAGGTCGACTACGTCCTGCAAATACTTCAGCCAAAAAGGGTATACTTTTCAATTTTGTTATCTCAACTGTATATTTATTATTTTTCTGTTTCGAAATTCACTTAAAAAAATACCAGTTAAGGGGAAAAAGTGTGAAATAAAATAATAACAGATAATTCTGGCACATTTAGATCAATAGTTGATTGTTTATGTGAATTTCTAGAAAAAGAATGTGTTAAGAACGATTATGAAGTAGATGATGAAGTTGGAGAGGATTTCGTAGTTCGAGGTGGAGTGATGATGAAGATCGCTGATGTGAACAAAGAGCAGTGGAAATCAATGAAACGGTTTTATATCGATGTCAATCGGTCTCAGATTTACCAGCATGCTGAAGCTCATGATAGGATATCACTAGGTGATGAGGCTAACTCATCTCGTGTTACAGTTGAAGTTTCTGCGTTACCAGGTGATGGACGGATGTTCCATATTTGTGATAATCTTCCAGGCAAGTTTTTTTTTTTGATCTAATAGTTTCATCATGTAAACTTTACAATGTGTAAAAAATTGAGTTCTCCTTGCTAGATAATATGTAAATATCTGATACTCTGTTGTAGTGTAAAACATTTCGTGAAGATCATGATACCTTGTCAGGACTAGCGCAAATTTTTTCAACTATTTTTGAATAAAATTTTCACCTTTTGAAAAACTTGAATACTCCATTATTTTAGGTATAGCAAATGAGGTGGAGTCGTATCCTTGTCGTCATTGTCCTAACCGTATTTTTTTAACTTCATTCGGCCTGGAACGCCATACTAAAATAGAACACAAAACACACCTTCCTGAGGTTTTGGAAGAAATATCAAGGATTCGTAACGAGTGGAAGAGGTACAGTTACCTGTTTGTTTTTCTGCAACGAATTGCCAAGAGCGGTGCATTCAATTTTACTTTGTATGGCATGGAATTTCTCCAATGCTGTTATTTTCATCTGGCTTTTATGTAATTTCTATTCCATATTCGACATTTTAAGGAGAGAGACATTTAAAGCGATAGCCAAAAAGCGACGTGAAGCGTTAAAGAAGACAAGAATGTTAACGGAAATTGTTAAGCGATCGCGTAAGCTTCCATACACTTTTTGTTGTGGGATCATTAACGAAGGATAGACCTTTATATTAGGTGTTAAATAATACTGGAAACTTCGAATTTCTTAAATTAACCTAGAAATTTAGATTTTTTAAAAACAATTAAGATTTTTTGGTGTTATTTTTTTAGAAAGTCTTCGATCCGAACATCATTCTGCTAATAGGCATTACACAGGTGCTTTGAGCTGTCATATTTGTGGTCTTAGTTTTGAAGCTAATTGTGAATTTATGATGAATCATTTTCGTGCTCATCGGAAAAATGACGACTTAAGACGACGATTATTGGCAAATTTTGGTCCTTCAGTAGGTTATATTTCACATTTTCTTTTGGTTTTACACGGGGCTTAAATAAATCGCATTATTGCATTATTTTTAGATTAATATGTATTGCAGTACGTTGCACGTTGTACCTGTTATCAGTGTCATTTGGTTTTTGTTAATGAGAAGAATTTGATGCTGCATAAAGAGTCATCACATCTTAGAAAGCGAAAGTAAGTATTATAATTCTTTAATTTTTTTATTTTCAAGTTATCCTGCTGCTGTGGAAAAGATTATAAAGTATTGATTCATCGCATTTATCAAGCTTATTAAAGTCATCTCGCACTTATCAATTGAAAACTATGTACAAAACTTCGAGATGAAGATATAAAACATTTTTAATTGAGGCAGTGATATCAGTACTATTAAATTGCAGACAAACAGTTTTGATCTGTCATGACCCATTTCAATGGAATTACTGCATTATTACTCGATAGATTATAATGACTGCAATTATTTTTGAATTTTCAATTAATGAACAGTAAGACTGGTGTCTTCTGACGTGAATATTGAGTTTGATTTTTTAGTTCTAGGAAGAGATTTTATAGCTTAATATAGATTCTATACATTCTTGTATCAGAAAAAAAAAATTTTTTTTTTCAGGTATGTATGTAAATGGTGTGGTGATGTATGTTTATCAGTGAATGAATTGAATGAGCATAAAAAAGATGTGCACGGTGTGCCGTGCAGTCGAACGGAAAAATTGCCCACTACTAGTACAATTAGCAATTCGCAAAAGAATACTGCTAAACTTAATGATATCGTTGCTGATGATAGCTTAGCAGAAAAGCAGACATTGTGTGGAAACGGTTTTGCAGATACTTCTTCAGGAAATCGTACCTCTATGCTAGATCAAAGTCCATGCATGTGAGCAAATATTTCAGATAGATCTTTTTTGTACAAGTTGAATGAACATCGCACTATTGGATTCTTATTCATTAACTTACATTGTTTTGACGCTTACAATATATATCTAAACATATTGCACATTATAAAAGCTGTTTAATATTTTCTCAAGATCACTTAATTCATTTAATTTAGAGCAAAGTGTAGTGAATGTGGTTTGACTACAGTGAAGCCATCATTGCTTATACGTCACATGCAACGTGTACATAATAAGAACTGCTTCTCAACGGTAATTGAAGTAAAAGGTTTACCTAACATTAGGGTGGATATGGATCGTGGAAAAGTAACTTGGTGGTGTTGTGACTTCTCTTTCGAAGACAGGTTTGTTTTCGTTTCTTGATAACTAATCAGAACTACTTAATATTTATTCATTTGTTTTTCTTGATAAACAAAAATGGATACTAGTTTCAGGCATTAATTTTTAGGTATCGTTTTATCCATCATAGAAAAACTTGTCATCAACAAATGCTTGAACATGGCCATTTGCAAAATTGTGCAGTCAGTGCTGAAGAACAAGCTACCATGCATGAAACAAATGACAGAGAATGCATGAGTACTGCACAAATAGTGCAATTGATTAATCAGGACGAAATTGAAGATGATGAGTTGTACGTTTTTATGGCAGAAGAAGACCTCGGTATTTTTCTTGCCCTTTCAAAATTCATAAATTTTCTTGAAAAAAAGATTTAGAACTGTCTAATAAGACATATGCAAGATTGTGGTAAATTAAATAATCTTTAAATTTTTACGGAGTTGGAGTATTTTTAATTTAATCTGCAACGAGGTGTTCGTTACTAATAATCTGATATAAACAATTGTTTTAACTGGTTGTATTTTCCTCATTTTGCTGATGCAGAATTTTTATAGTAACATTCTTGCTGTCTGGACTTATCATTATGGATAAACAAAAAAAAAAAAAAAAAAATGATTTAATTTAATACCAAATTAGTCCTTCCGGTTAAAATTTCTTATCATGTAATTCAGATCAGGAAGTTTACTGATTTTCAGAACAAGAAGGAGAAATAATGTTGCGAGAAATGCGAACAAGTGAATCAATGGTAGAGGGTGCTCAGACTGTAAGAGCTAAGGAATTTTTACAGTTGAGGCAGCAAATAGGAGAAAACTTTGATCGTGGCATGGTTAGTTATTGCAAACTTCGTAATTCAGAAGTGTAATTTTCTTAAAGATTTTACCATTTTAGCTATAAAATTTGAGCAGTACATTTTTTAGCAAATTGTTCTTGTTGATGTCGTGAATGATGCACAGCGACAATCTCCAAATTCCGGAGCGGAGCCAGCAATTGATTTCATCGCCAATAATGTGGTAGATAACGATGTCCTAAATTCGTTACTTATATCAAGCACACAAATGCCATCCACAGATTATAAATATTATTCCAGGACTCAATCAACTGAGTCAGATTTTTCTGTAGTGAATGTTCCCGATTCTACGGAAGACAAGATATTACACAATGACTTACCTCTACCATCGGAAAGCTTGATTAACGTTGAAACAAGATCTTCACCCACACCGACTGCAACATTTAGTCGAGGTAGTTTGATAGATAATTCTCTGAGTTGTCATTTTCAAGTTCAGAGAAATACCCTTAATGATTTAGCAGTAGTTCCCACAGTAGCGTTCCCATACAGCACACAACAACATAATAATAATAATGTAACATGTTCTTCCACGATAGTATGCCCTGAGTTAGATGGAACACCAAGAATTCCCCACCCATTACTATAATTAGTAATAAAGAGACAGTTTCACTACCACCCAACATTGGTTACTGTGCTATGGAAGGTTCAAAAACTAGCAATTTTTTGGTAAGGTAAAGTAATAAACCTACTTCCGTCCTGGATAACATCTCCACTTTGTTAAATTTAGATCCAAGGGGTACTCTCACGACAGCAGCGCAGCTAAGACACTGGTTGAGACATCCTCTTTACAGCATTTATCAACACGGGATGATACCATTTCGTCTTAAATTGGTCAAGATACCAATTCAACTGTTACAAGAGTACATAATTCAACAATATATAATCTTTCACTAGGTGAAGCCAATAATGCTTGATCGAGCAGTACGACGTGAGGAGAATTACTTTTTAATGATTAAACATAAAGTAATATATATCATTCATTAATTTTTTATGTTCTTTTTAAGTTTTAAGTTGGTATTAAATGCAATGATTCTTTCATTCAGTTTCCGTACTAATGAATTTTGTTCTAACATATATTCATCACACATATCACATATGGTCAATTTTAAGTCTGGAAATTCCAATCGCTTTCAAAATTGCGTGATTAGTTGTATAGTGAAGTTGCTGTGAAATAAAATTTGTATACATTAATAGAAAATCAATTTAGTTTTATTAATGTTTTTTTTTTTTTTTTTTTTTATGTGGTCTGATGACGGTACTCGCTATTATATAAACTATAAAATGAATAAAATTTTTTAAAGTTGCGCTTCCATGGCAGAGCTCGTATTTTCATGCAAGACATATTCATATATTTCAAATCAGTTTTTGGAATCTTTCTATTTGCAGCAGATGAGATATTCTTTAATTGGTAATCACTTTTCGTTTTTCCTTTTCTTGGTTAGGGATGGCTTTAAAAAAAGGAAAGGTAACTTATGAGGCAGTTTGCATTGCCTTCAATTTATTTCGGTAGGCAAATGAAGTATCGCATTATATAAAATTGAATTGGCCAGCTGTGTACAGGAAGGACATTTTCATCAATGACAACGTTATGAGCAACAAAAACAACAAAATATACATATAAACAAGTGTACAGAATGATCACATTTCACATTAAATATTTGCTGTAATACCCTGTTTAATTTTAAAATTCATGATAGATCATTTCTTTGCATTAAAAAAAAAGGATTGAAAGAATGCTAAAGCGTGAATAATATATAAGATTTCTAAAATGATGAATAAATAAATAAGAAGAGCACCTGAACTTCTTGTCAAGAAATGGGTCTTCTCATGAATATCAGATTTTAATCCAATAATTTTCTATTATTTAATTAATTTTTTTTTTTTCAATCTGAAGATTTAGTGGATGTTGTGAAACTAGTCAACGAAGCGGTAGACTGTGTGATAGAGAAAATGCTTGAATAAACCGCTTCGTTGGTTAATTGTCACGGTGACTTGGATGAATGCTCTGAATTTGTTTCATCTTCTTCAGCTGATGCACGCATTTGTGCTAATCGTGTTTCTTGTCGATAAAAATGCTTAAAATTTGCTACCTGAAAGGAAGGTAAGCAAATAATAAAAGTAGTTCTAACAAAAGTATCTAGATTAGAAATGTTAAATAAGTCAAAAGTTTTTCTTTTTTTTTCAATATTATCAAGAAAAGATTTATCCATTTACTAAGGAACACTTACAATAATGGGTACAGGTAGGGCAAGTGTCAACACACCAATTAATGCACACAAGCCACCCACTAGCTTACCGTAAACTCCAGTTGGCGTTAGATCCCCATACCTTAAAAAAAAAAAAAAAATGATTTCATTTAAAAGTAGCTTTCTCGAAATTCTCGAAAAAAAAAAAAAAAAACATCCACTCAAAAATGAAGAAAGTAAATACAACACTTATAAGAATGACAATAAGACTCAAATTTCCACTTTAACTATGTGTTAACACCATCACAATTTTGTGTAAACATTTCAAAAGTAGGACGAAAAAAAAAATGGTTAAAAGAAAAATGTTGTAATTAGGTATCAGATAATTTGCAGTTATTTTCTACTTTTTTTAGCCTAAGTAATGAAAATTATACTTTGAGCACAAAAAAGGTATAACATGAAAGAGGTCAAGAGATTCATCAACCATTACAGTTTTTTTTTTTTTTTTTTTTTGGATAATTGGTAATTTGATAAGATTATGTGCTACTAATATGAAAGCTTCAATAAGTAATTCTTACGAATAATTAATTATTAGCGAAATTTGAATTAATAAACATCAATATAAGAGATACATGCACAACATATCTCCTCCCGAAAAATACAAAACTTACCCAACTGTAGTCATTGTAACCTGAAATAAATTGAAATGAAAAGATGATTTTATTAAAATTTGTAACGATATTTTCAATTATGAAAGTTAATTAAAAGAATAAAGTGATGATATAGAATAGTAAAGCCTACCAAAACAAACCAAAATGAAGCAGGAATTGAGGTAAACTTTGTATTTGGTTCATTCTGTTCAGCAAAATAAACACCGCTAGAGAAAAGTACCAGAGCAATAACCATAAAAAAGATAAGAAGACAAAATTCCTGTATGGATGCACGAAATGTTTTGCCAAGGATTTGTAAACCAACTGAGTGCCTGCAATAGTAATTTTCATAAATTCAAACTTTCATAAATAAATCATCGCATTTCTTCATCTTTATCTCATTTCTAAATGCATTATGTTATCAATAATCGATTTAAATGATTAATATATAAATAGAAATTCATTCATAATAATAAATGAAAAGTTCAACCTGCTAAGCTTAAATATCCTGAATACTCGTACTAATCGTAAAACACGTAATACAGCAAATGACATTGATGAACTGGATTTAGTTGAATCCATCCTAAAACTTATGATATCTCTTTGATGAAATTTAACTTTACATTATAGCTTTTCATTTATCAATGATAATTTATGAGTGAAATTAATTGATGATTATTTTAAAATTATTCCCATAATTGTTGTTTATAATTTCTAAATGAAAAATTTTTTTTTCAAAAAATTCATATGTTTAATTAGCTCATATACTAACATACCACATTAAATTACCAAAAAAAGGAGCAATAGCAACGAAATCAATGATGTTTAGAACAGAGCGAAGAAAGCTGAACTTATTTGGACAGCTTATAAATCGTAGTAGTAATTCTGAAATGATGCATATTTCCCTTTTTCATAAAATAATAAGTTTCAAATTCAAAAGTTTTTATTTATTGAGCATTAAAACTGCTATTTGTATGAAAAAGTAATTAGCATGCAAGTCACTTAAAGTTTAAAATAAATGCCTAACTCAGAAGTTTAAATTGGCTTGAATGACGTTTTTTTTCTTTTTTTCCAATCTATGCACTAATAAAAGTTTTGTTTGTCTCATGAGAGAAATTTTCTGTGATTTAGTGAGGCAATAAATGGTCCATTAAAGGAAGAAATTTTCACTTCTAATCGACCATCTCGAAATCAATACTTACATTTTATATAAGTGCATTCTAAAAAATAAGTGAAAAATTTTTTCAAATTATTAACAACGAAAACAAGATTTCTTTTCTAAAAAATTGAAGCTAAAACTGTGAATTTATATTAACTTAGTTACTGCAATATATAAAATGTAAAAGAAATAATAACCAACCAATGGTAAACCAAATAATACAGAATAATTCAATGTAGAAAAATGGATTAGACCAGTCGCGTACGTCACCTGGATTTTCTTTCATTGATGGTAGTGTTTCCAAGCAAAATGATATTATTGAGCTAAAATCTAACTAAATTATCGAAATTTCTTCCATTGATATATGAAAGTGACCTTAGTATGATCTCTTATAAAGTTATAAAGCTAAAAAATTTGAATGGAAATTTTTAGAAAATTATTAAAATTTTATTAAACTTTCAAAAATACATACATGCTAATAACAAAAATAGACAGAAGCGCAAATATACGAGCGAATAATGAAGAATCTGGATATTCTACTAATTCCCATAGCTGTCGCTGTAATACATTTTGAGGCATTTGAATTTCTTTTGGTTTCTCGTAACCTTCACTAATCCAAAATTTTTCTAACAATTCTTCACCCATCTATAAAAAAAAAAAAAAAAAAAAAAAAAAATTAATATCATAATCAAATGCTACAAAAAATTAAATAAATATATTTGTATCTTATATTTTTGGTAAGAGTTTTAGATCGAACAAAGTTATCATTAATTATTTTTATTGAAATTGAAAACAAATGATTTCTTCTTTTTAACTTTCTGTAATTTTGGATTTACTTCAAAAAATTTGAGCTCTTTGACGAACATATCGATTGGTACCGATTCCGGCCTTTTCATAATACCGCCACTTTGATATGCATACAGTATTGATTCAAAACTGAAAAATTACAGTTAGTGTCATATCAAAATACTTTGTACCATTAAAACATAGTCATTTTTAATAAAAATAGATAGTTTAGTAAATAAGATAATGTCAACAAAAAGCTTTGTTTGTTGATTCTTATAACAAATGAAAATAAAAATTATTTTCAAAGTCTTTCAAAACATTTTACACATTTTTCAATGATCGTTCAAGTATTAATGCAAACCACTAGAAAAAAAAAAAAAAAAAAAGAAATTCAAACTGGAAAAAAGTTAACCTTGTACGATGCCGATCAAAAAAATATTCTTCATTTTTGGGATCCCAGAAACGATTTCGTTTGAATGAATTACCAAGCAGTGTTAATGGATATCTATCAATAATGACAATGAAATATATCCGTCAAAAAGAATTAAACTAAGTAAAATTAAGTTAAGTAAGAAATGAGATAGCAATCCTAAAAGTTTAGTACCATGCTATTACACTGAATTGAGAAGTAAATAATAACAATAATAATATTTATTATAATTAGTAGTACTTCTGAACTATACTTTTGGAAGAAAAAGAAATTCCACTTCTCTTTTCCTAAAAATTATTTTAGACGATTTCTTATTCCATTTACTATTATTATTACTACTACTATTATTATTAACCATTATTAATACTATTACTATTGTTATTATTAAATGTTATTAATATTATTATTATTGTTATTGTTATTGTTCGGTATTTCCACTAATTATTATTGAACATTTCCAGTAAATTTCCAGTGAACAGCAAATTGAATGAGGGATTGCTTAAAGAAATTCTTAAAAGAAATAAAGGATGGATGATGAGTTAAGTGGAATTTCTTTTTCTTTTAAAAGTACAATTCAGAAATGCTTCATTTTCCAATTCTACATAATGGCAATGGCACACTTTTAGGATTTCTATTTCATTTTCCTAATGTAAATTATATTAATATTTTGCAAACTTCTATATTTTAAAGTTGAAATTTTCATAAACTTTGAAAAAAAAAGGAAAATGCAAAGAAGCTTTATAATGATACTTTTAGACGGATGAAAAAATTTATGTTTAAATTATTTATAACTTCAAAAGCACCATAATTAAGCATGCAAGCTCTAATTCTGCTTTGAGTAAATTGGAAGCTTAATCTAGCAGAAAGATTTTGCAATTGATAAACATTAAAAGCACTTATTTCACTTACCTTTCTAATGTTGATTCATAAGTTTGAAACCTTAGACCAGAAACATTAATTGTAATTAGATTTCGCTCTAGTTGTTTTGCTGATGACGTATCATTAAACATTATATTGTTTGGCTAAAAATATTCATACGTCAACAAAGTACTATAAAACTAAATACATGGTGGAAAAAATGAAACGAAATATATGATAAATTATTAAGTATCCGACAAAGAATAAGGTTAATAAATCAAATTAATAGATTTTCGAAAAAATAAATCTTGATTTAAATTCAAAAAAAAAAAATTATTGAAGACTAGCCTCTTCTTCTGTTATCATCGGGAAAATAGATCCATTGTTTGGTTTTTCATCACTTACCTCCCTATTTGATGGTGTGTCCATGATGGGTGACCTGTAGAAGCTTTGATTTGATAAATCAAAACAGTTAGACTGCATGGAATATTCGTTCATTTTTTTTTTTTATCCCATTAAACAGAAGTATTTTTTATGAATTGAAATGGAAAATTTTCACCTAATCAACCAGGTATAAAATTAATGGTACTATCGAGATAATTTAAGTAAGATGAGCGTTTTGTTAAATCATTCTAAAATAAGAGCAATAAAAGTGCTTAAAAAAAATAGTAAATGAGTACAAATTAGTCTCTCAGTGAGAGAGGTAAAAATATATCTCAAATATATATTTTTATATTTCATTTATTATTAAGATATTTTATTAAAATACACGATGTGCTATCATTAAAGCTTGTTCTCATCAAACTTCATGACGAAGAACTTCCATATTTTTAAATATATCATCCTTGATCTATTTCTAATTATTATTAGATTTTTGTATTTCGATAACAAAAAAAAAAGCATAAATTAATAGATGGAGAAGAAATAAAATATAATAAATCTAATTAAATTAGTTTTGTTTGATTGAAATACAAATTATTATTGAATTGCAAACATATTACATTCAATGTATGATTGACAGCTTTTCGTTTTAGCAAATTAAACACCTAATTCATTATTGTTTTCTTTTTTGTTAAACATTTGATATTTGTGAAGTTTTTTTTTTTTTAAAATCAAAAGAGCAAATCACTAAATGAACTAACTAACAGCATTTAATTAACGATTTATTCCATTTTTGAAGTTAAATTTTTCCTGCTGTAAAAATTATTTTAATGACAAATTTATGGAAGAAAAAGTGACAAGAAATAAGGAATAAAAAGAAGGCTAAGAGAGCTTTTCAAAATGTTTTAGCGGATGGATAGATAGACAGATAGATAGATGGATGGATGGATGGATGGATGGATGGATCATGTATGAAACACACGCCGGCCGGGCCGGGTCCGGTACTCATCAATTGCAGCAGCTGGCGCAAATAATTGGCATTTGTGTAAAGCTTCAATAATCTCTTCCTTCTTTTAGTATATTCATTCTCTCAGCTTAACTTAGAACTAACATTTGCTTACATACACATACACACATACAACACATATATAATTAGATAGATAGGTAGATCGATTCAATTACAGGTGTGAATAGACTTTTCTCGATCTGAATATACCAGTTTTTGAGTTACCTTGATGAACTAAAATCAAATGTGAAGTAATCATATTTGATTTTAAAAATTTATCATCAAATTACTGTTACTGTTGCGAATTATTTCAGCTTAAAAGTTATTAGTTCAAATTAGTCAATCGGTCGAGAATTCATGAAATGTCAAGAATTCACGAAATTTTCTTGTGAAATAAACTTTTTAGAGCTAATGCTATATCAAATAATTATTCCTAACTCATATATTATATATACTCTCGTTTAAAAATTATTGGGAAAATTATGTTTTTTGATGATGCAAAATTAGAATTAATAATAGTATGTCATGGAGGTATCGTAGATTTACGTTAAGTTACGTTACGTTAAAAATATTACGTTTGAATTAAAATTTAGACAAGCTATTGTTTGTGTTACATACATATAGAGAGAGTAAAGTTTAAAAGGAAAACTAAATATGCAATATAAATTTTCACTCATCAGCATACAATTATATTAAATAAATTTGGATAGAAATATATAAATCTAATTTTCGTTTTATAAATCTAATTTTTTTTTTCATTCTGAATTCAAATTATGTGTAAAATTTTGGGAAGAAAAGTTAGAAAAGCTTAAATTTTGAAATAATTTATGAAATTTTTTTACAGAAATAAAAAATTATAACATTTCCTCTGTCTATTGTTAAATAAAATTATCTTACAAAAAATCAACCGAACGTGATCGATGGCAATCAATATCATGTAAATTAATGGGTGTTGAAGTTCGTGTTGATCGACCACTTCGACTGCGGTATTTTTCTGGATGAACATTGAGTAAATGTTCTATTTGCCTGAAATTCATTTCAAGAATATAAATTATCTTAAAGAATTTCTGTTATAGTTAAAAAAAATTTTTTAAATTTACTATATAAATACATCAGTTATTTCTTTTATTTTGCCACACTTTTAAATATTTATGATAGATCGTTTAGAGAAAATAAAAAATGAAAAAAGAATGGAATAAATTTGTAAATATTTTTAATGAATAAATTAATTCATACTAATTATGAACAAATAACAAAATTAGCTTATTAGTAAATGGTATTAATTTATAATAATATTGCAAGGAATTGTTGCTTATTTTTTCACTGCAAAAATAATAAATTGTATTTTAAATATTATTCATACATCAATTGTAACATACTACAAATTGTATGAGAATTTGTATGACAATTTTTTGAAAAATTTAATATTTTCATCAGAAATACAAATATCTTTTAAATATTTGAAAACTTTTTATTTGTACCTTTTTCCATGAAATCGATATTTTCCAAGCATTTCTTTAACGAATTGCCAAAATTCAATTTCAAAAAATTTGTAAGAAAAAAGAAAAACAATTAAATATTAATATTATTTGTATAGAACGAGTAACATTAGCCGATTCGAATAAAACAGCAAAATAATAATTAGAGATAGGTGTGATTGTGAACGTCTAAAAAAAAAAAGAATGCTTAATTACTAAATGTTCAAATATCTGAAAGACACACACACACACACACACACATTCAATGATATATGAAAAAAGACACTTTGCAAGCATTATTATCAACTTAAAATTATTAGCGTAAACGTCATTCATTGAATGAGAAATAGTTAAACGATTTATGTATTATTTAAAATTAGCAAAATATGAAATAGAAAAAAAAAATTTGATCATTTTAAAATTTAAAAATGAGTGCTAACATTGATATCATTAAGAATGTTGCTATTTGAAATCATTTGCAATCTCATTACTGGGATACACGGAGTATATATATCCAAAGTTATTTACTTGTCACGAATATCAAATTTATCATCAATGTTTTTCACTCTTTTAATTAATTAATTTTAATTCGTTAGCTACAGTAAACTTATTTTCACTCATATTTACTTCAACTTTCATCGAGTTATCATGGTAGATTAGCTCGATCTAATTCAAGTCAATCTCTAAGTAATTCCTTCTCTAACATTCATCATTCTAAATCTATTAACTTTGTTTTTTTTTTTTTTTAATCGAAATATCAAATAAAAATTTTCTAATGAAGACACTATTAAATTGGAAATACTTATATTTACGAATGAGAAATATAATAGCAATTAATTATGAGTTAGACTAATTATTCAAAAATGAAGGAATTAAAGAATTGGTACTTGAATAAACTGTTCACCATTAAACACCACCATTTTGACATTATATATTTGCATTTAAATTGAATTTTATCCTTTTTCGTTTTGTAAGATCAGCTTAAAATAAAAAAAAAAAAACACTTTCAAGAAATGAATTTGAGAGCCATTTATATGCGACAAGTACTGATCTATGCAATTTTAACCAAATACTTTCTACCAAACTTTTTTTTAATTTTACCTCTGCATTTTTAATATTTTCAAAATTGGAAGAAAAAAATATATAGTTAAATCGAAGAATTAAATCCAAGAAAATATCATTATAAAATCTGTAAAATTTACTTTCTCATGATTTATAACAACATTTTTTTTGCCATGAATTAGACATTAGAATAAATTATTCTGATTCCCAAACTTCTGTTTTTATTTTTGACAAAGAGAAGGAAGAAGAAATCAAAGAAAAGCTAAAAGTTAATTTCAACAAAAAAAAAGAAAAAAAATGCTTTTAGTTTGTACATTCAATGATAAGAAGTGAGGCAAAATGTTTCTTCTGATAGAATTAATAAATAACAAAGATTAGCTATTTTGTTCCGAATTGAAAAAATAATTTTAAAATGTTAAAAATAATTGAACAAACCTTTTAGTTGAAGGTCGTCGACTAAATAATCCATAATTTGACCCTTCTCGCACTGCAACAGCAGGCATTTAAATCCAACGAAATAATAATTCACTGTAAATTGATGCCATATATTCAGAGAAATAAAATTTGCTTCCACTTGCTAAAATTTTCTGGAAGACTTCGTTGTCGTTTACGTCTGATAGAATAGTTCAAAACAAAAAACGTTTTTTTGAAAAAATGAATTGATGGATTTTTTTAAAAATCGCATTTCAAATTTAAGCTTGAATTCAAGCATAAAATTAGTGGTGGCATAGAATGAGGAAAACAAGAAAATAATAAATATTCATTTTTCCTTAAAGAAAATTTTGATTTAGACTGGAACAAAATTAGCAGCTGTTAGCATTTGCCTTTTCTCAATTGATTTAAATTTAATTTTTTTTTTTGCATTGATTTAAATTTACGACAATCATCGATATTATTTACATTTCTTTAACGATATAAAAATAATTCAAATATGCATAAACCATACAGTTGTCTTTCTTTTTTCATAGAACTAATTAAATGGAATAGTATCTCAATTTTCATTCTCTCAAATAATTTTAATTAAAAAAAAAAAAAAAAAATTATAGGTTAGTAATACTTTAATACTTTAAGATAACGTCTAAATTTTCACAAATCTTACAAATGAATTTATTCCGATCTTATTCAAACGAAGAATGAAATAAAATAAGATTCAATAATTTGCGAACGTTATAGAAATTAAAAGATTCTGGGATAAGAAGTAAAATTCCTAATCTCAATACTAAAACAAAGAAAGAGCAAAAATTTGAAAAAGGAAAAAAAAATTCTCACCTTTGAAGATGAGAAACTTTTCTCATACTGATGACATTTTAGTTATAATAAGAAACGAACATTTTTTTTTTTTAATTAGTAATACTAATTCCTTGTCTAGCATTATATGATTATATTACTCTTTCCGGAAAAATCTGTCTTTATTTTAATTTCAACTTTCTTCTCCATATGAATTAAAAAAAAACAAAAAGCAAATAACGAGACTGAACTCAAAGATTTTTTTATTTTTTTATTTACCAATTACTTTTTTTTTTTGATTTACTAAAATTACTCTTTTTTTCTTTTAATTTAATTTACTTCAATTACTATTAAAGTATTATGTCTATGGTTAAACATTTCTAATATTATTGGTTTCAAGTTTTTTTTTTTTTTTTTGTTCTAATATTAGTTAAATTTTATATAACTGTTAGAAATTACACTTATATGCATTAATAAAATAAAAATGTCTGAAAACATTTTTTTTTAAATTTTCAAATTCTGATAAAATTATTGTTCAAAAAACATAACTTTCTTTTTCAGAACCTAAAAAAAAGTGAGAGTTATATGAATTTATCTTTTGAAAAGTTGACAAGTGACAAGCATCAGAAAACTTCAATGATAATGACAAGAACAATGCTAACTTTTAATTAAATAATTGACTTGCAATCATAATAATTTAATTTTTTTTTCTAATATAATTTAAAATGTCTATAAATATATTATTGAAATAAGCACTATCAAATTTAATTTTGCTTTATAAGCAGAAAAATAAAGTAATCACATCAATCGTAATTTTGTTTCATTATTTAATATAATAGTTTATGATGTAAACGCACATAAATATAAATTAATTTTTTCTAGCAGTCAGATAAGTTGGTTTGACAGAAAATTTCTCATATATTTGAAATTTGAAAATTAAGTTTATTTTAAATGATCCATTCTTACATGCCATAATTTTAAATTAAATTAAATACTATAATTGTAGAATTAAATTCTTCGTTAAAAACAAAACAAAAGTAAGGTGCGCTTCAAAGAACACACATAAATTTGGACAAATTCAAAAAGTATTATTGCAAATAAGCGGAAATGTTATTTGCTATAAATTAAATTTGATTTTCTTTTTTTTTTTTTTTTTTTGCTACAAATAATTTACCTAAATTAATTGGTAGAAATAAATTTGATATTCAACAGATAGATATGACTTAAAAATTAACATTCATCGCGATTGAAAGTTAAAAATTTGTCACCGAAAAATTAATTTCTTCAAAAGGTTGAAAAATGAAATCATATTTAAATCTAATTGTTACTTGTAATTTCTTTTACAAAAAAAAAAAAAAATTCAGTCTATGAGAAAGAACAAACTTGACAATAAAATTATTCTTGAAATTCTTTCAGTTTATTTAAATCAATTAGTGATTTGATATATGCCATAAAAAATCTAAAAGACTGTCCATAAATGAATTCGAAGAATATTATCCAAAAAAATTTTACAATATTGCAATTTATCATCATTGTGATAAATAAAAATTGAATCTGATAACTTTCACATATAATCTGAGACAGTAAAATTTGCAATCAAAGAGAAACATTTAAAAAATCCACAAAAAAATGAAAGAAAAAAAAAAAAGCTTTTACTGAAATATAATCAATGACTAAACTTATTTGCTATTAGAACCACTTCAATTCACTTAAATTCCACGATGCATGCAAATCAAATTTCCTCCTTTAACATTTTTTGAAAGAAAAAGGCTTAATAGCATAAAATTTTGTCGCAAACATTTTCCAAAGGACTAATTCGTTTAATTTCAAATATTTTTTTTACTATTATCCAAATGACCTTTTCATTACTGCAATTTAAAAAAAAATATCGATTATTAAAAGAAATAAATGTAGACAGCTTTGCTAATTGCATTGTTCATTAATTTCAATCAGTTTGAAATTTTAACTTTAAAGAATGCATTTTAAAATAATATAACAGTTATGAAATTGAACATAGTTATAGATCTACTTTATCAGTGTCAAAGTAGCTGCACTAATTGATATTTATAATGTAGAAAAAGTGATTAATCAATCTTTGAAATATAATTTTGTTTAAATATAATTTCCACAGCGATCTTTCATACAGTTAATATCAGTAAAACGAAGTGAAGTGATATGTGATAGATTTGCAATGAAAATTTTTTATGAAAATGAACTAGTGATATTCTATCAAATAAATTTATAGCACTTAATTTTCAAAAAAAAAAATTGACAAATAAATTTTTAAGATTTCTGATTTTTTTTTTTTTGTTGTTGCATAGACAATTTCAATGATGAAAAATCTGTTTAGCTGTGATAATGTGAAAAAGAAAAGAAAGAGAGAGATGGTTGGAAGTAATGAAAAAAAAAATAGTTCAGTGAAATATTTCAAACAATGTTAAATGCTTTTCGTTAACTGAACAATTCATACTCACATTCATCACTAAATTTTTGGAGTAAACATTTAAATCGAAAAGTTCAAAATCAAAGAAGCATTGATGATTGAATAAAAGATTACATTTTCAACTATTATATAGTTAGAGAAAGGAATAATTGAGAATTGCTTCCAGTTTCAAATTTATTGCTAAAGAGATTTAAATTAATTTTTAATTTATGTTTCTTAACATTCCATTCAAATCATTTTGAAATTTAAATTAAATTTTCCATACGAAAAAAATTTTTAATGAGAAATGATTGGAAAAAGGAAAAAAAAAAAGAAAGAATTCTTCCAATATTTTTTATTGCAAAACTACTTCGAATAGTATAGCTATTTTCTCTGAGTCAGTAACTATTGACCAGTTTATTGGTTATAAATTTGAAAAACAAGGATAGAATAAAGATTGCTGAAGGAAAATTATTGATATATTTCAAATGAGACTTTAAAAAAAAAATCAAAACTGAAGAAGGGATATAGAAACAGGAATGAATATACGGAAACAGATGATCGGTCGAGACGGAAACAGATGTGATCGAAGAAAGATGAAAAGAATGAATCACTCATGCAAGTTTTGTGATTTTAGTGAGATTTTCAACTGTACCTGATAAACATTTGTGTGTTGCAGAGATTTAGATGTCTTATCATTTGCAGTGATTTACTCTACAGAGAGAGAGAGAGAGAGAGAGGGAGAGAGAGAGGGAGAGAGAGAGGGAGAGAGAGCAGTTGTTCTGTTTAGATTAGATCGGACATTGAAGAAATTTTTCATAGATATATTTTAGCTAACGCAAAATAATTCCTGTTGAATTGGAAATTATTGCAATGAAGAATCAATCGTTCGTGTTTTTGAATTTCTCTGATGAATGATGCATGCAAATAAAGGAATAAGAAATGATGCAATTTTGGAATGAATAATTAATTAGTTTTAGTTGGAAAAGAAATTAAATAAATTTAAATTGGTTATAACAAATTTTACAAAAGCATAATTTTTTTTTTTTTTTTGGGGGGGGGGAGAGAAGTAAAAAAGTGTTAAATCTATCGAATTTTATTATATTTAAATCAATTCATAAAATTAAGGTTTTTAATCATCATGATGAAAGCTATTTACAAAAAAAAAAAAATGATAATCTTTTTTTTAACTAGAATTGTTCTACAAAAAAAAGAAAAAAAAATTGGCATTTCAATTTTCTCAGAGAATTGAAAATTTAGCATTTCAGAGAATTGAAATTTATTAGGAAAATTAAAAATCGATGAGATAATTTTAGTAAAATGCAAAGAATTACTCAAAATTAGGGAAATTTGGGCAAAAAAAAGTAAGAAAACTAAGAAATGTTTAGTAATGTTCCATAATTACAGAGAAACAAAAGAAAAAAATAGTAAAATTAAGGGTTTACTTCTTTTTGATAATTAATTAGATAATTAAGGAGTGAAAGAGAAGAAATAAATTATGAAAAAGGTACATTTCTACCTTGAATTTATATTTTGTGGCAAATAGTTTCACTGACTTATCCATCTTCAGAAATAGACTTTACTTTTTTTTCTTTAGTTAATTAATTCGTTTTTTTTTTTTTAGTTAATTAATTAGCATCCTATAGATCTCAAATATACAGAAAATACAGGAATACAAAACAAAATGGATGAATATTTTTTGCATACATCGGACCAAGAAGTAACAGATAGTTTGTATTTCTCGAGATGAGTCATCGATGACTAATTGTATTGAATTTTCTGAATATAGTTTGTGAAATATTCTCTGAGGAATAAAAACTGACTCCTAAAGATTTCTTTTTTTGTTTTCATGAA